GAGTTGTTTGCAGTCAGAATTGATAATAGTGAATTCATGTTCATTAAGGGAGAGAGAGATATTTTTAATTAGATAGAAGAGGAACAGGAAATTAACGAAAGCTTGCTGGCTTGGTTATTACAGTACCGAGATATGTTGCATCCAAAGGACAGCAAAACAATGTTATCCCAGTTGTGCTGATCTGTACTGGAAACTGGTGTTCAATTAAACTGCTGTATGTTGCATAGGTGTCTTCTGCTTGGGGAGCTTTTATTGTATTTTCCCTCTTCTTTGAACAGAACAGTTCTACATTTTCTATGTTGACAGCTGTTCATCTATGGCTATTTCTTAATTTTTTTTTACTGTAGTCATTTTTTATTTTCTCATTGACATATGATCCATATGTTCACTTAAAGTATATGAACAGTTTAGAGGATATCTGTAGCATAGCTTATTAAAAAGGCTTCTATTAGAATCCATTAATTTCAGACATTTTAATATCAGCAGAGAAATAGAATCCTCTTAAGAATTTCCTATACTTTCAGTTACATTAGTATAATTCATAGAAGCAAACTCTATTATCAAAAATTTCTCTAAGTTAAAAGATATTATAATAGGTTGAGTAATTAATTTTATTCTTACAGCTATTGAAATCTGTCTTTTGCTTTTGAGAATTTGTCAGAATCAAAGTATCTTTGCCAGTAGCCTTCTAGAGAGTGAGCATGTTGTTAGGGATTATAATTTTCACTTTTCTGCTTTAAAACTGTTTTTTGAATGTAGAGCTAGAATACTTTTTTTTTTTTTAAATCAAGTAAATGTAGAAAGAAAAAGACCTAGAAATAAAACCAAGACAGAAATCCAGTTATTGAATCTTTCAGTTCATCAAACTTTGTTGGAAGTAGATTTTCATATTCTAGTCAGGCTTACTCTTTTGAGATTGCATTCATTTGAAAAATTATTAAGTCAGTCAAGGAGTCCTTTGTTAAAGCTAAGCAGAAGTTACCTTGTTTTGATGAATAAAAGCAATACTTGCTATGTTAAAGATTATCTACTTCAGTTGTTTATCAGCAGGATAAGCAAAGCTATCAATTTTGGCTTTAGGCAGCTTGCAAATGAATACTGTGGGTCCTCATTTTCTTGTAGTATTTTTACCATTAACTTGATGTGGTAGAGCACAAAATCCCAGTGTCATTTACTGCAGCAGCAGCCAATTTTAGTGGTGATTGTATCTTGTCTTAACTGTAAAAAAAACTACTGTGATTTTGGTCTGAAAACAGCTCCATTCTGCAAGTTACTCTAAGGACCTGGCCATTCTTTGAAGTGCAGAAAGATGCTGTCTGTTTCCTGAAGAACATAAATGACAACACAAAGCTGGAGGATTTGCTTATGAGACTGGATAAGGAGTTTAATAGCAGAAGTAGATCCGTTCCTGGAGTGAAAAATGGTAGAAGTCTGAAGCATACACACACAAAAAGACAAAAAGATATTTCAGGAAAAAAACCAGCTTAATAAAGGCAAAGAGACAGAAAATAGACTTTCATACAAAGTGTAAATCATGGAAGTTGATGAATTTGAGAATAAGGATCCTGGATTTTTTGTGATAAAACACAGAAGATGGGAATAAAGAAAGATAAGATATCTGAATCTGGAGAGGTAAATGACACCAACAACCAAGACTTGCAAAGATGTGAATTATGGAAGAATTAAATATTTATAGGTGTGGAAAAAGTCAACAGAAATAAGTTATTCTTCTTACTTAAATTAGTTATTTCTGCTTCTTCAGTATTTATAGCCCTATTTTAGTCATGAGCTGTGTGCCTTCACATTTCTGTTTAGCCTGTGTTCCTCTCCTTGGATATCAGCTGCATTTTTGCTGCAGCAGCCTGTTCTATGTGCTCTAGCATTACAGAGAGAATTTACATAAAGTTCTTCCAGTTTAATGAAAAATAGAGAAATGCTAGTTTGAAATTCAGTGTTTTGAATCAGGAAGTGTTTTGTTTATTTTCAATCTTCTTTCAAATCCAGTAATACTAGTGGCTGCTCTTGAGTCATCTTGGCTTAGCTTCCATGAAGAGATTTTCTTTTTAACAGTTTCATTTTTTTGTTAGAGTGGAGCTGGGTTGTGAAGATTTCATTATGAAATATGATAGTTCCATTAAAGGTAGTTTTGTTACAGGCATTCAAAATCCCTGCCCTAGCTTTCAGCTGGATTTGATCAATGGCCAGTCAGTCTAGTGAAATCCAGTTCCAATGAGATATGTATTCCTGGTGGTTTCTGGCAGTATACAGATATACACTTTGTGGTGTTGAGCCTTGTTCTTAGATGTGAGAGGTTGTACTAAGTGGAGCCTGAAGGGTGATCATACTCAGGCAAGGTAATGTGCAAAGGACAGTAATCAGTGCTCTACGCTATTGCAAATTCAGTGTCAACTTTTGCCAGATGTTGAGGTCTTTGTGCATAGTGTAGTTGATACACTGCTGGAGTGGGTGAATTATTAAGAGTGCACCTTTAAACCTCATCAGCAAGCAGTGCGTTTCAGAACAGCTTTTTTTCTTTCTTGTATTATCTCTCTTTCGTCAGTCACTAGGCGCTCCTTATAGAGTTATAGCTTTCTTTCCTGCTGTATTGACAGCTATAAGGTGTTTACAACTGTACTTTCCAAGTCATGCTGGATTTGCAAAGCCCCAGTATCACTGTGGCGTCACCCTGTCCATAGTACTTGCTGTCTGTCCTGTGGTCCATGGTCACCTGCAGCTGAGCCATGATCTGAGCTGTCTGGCCCAACTGTGCCTTCCTGACCTCAGTGCTTGTTCCAGAGACGGGATATTTCTGACAGCTGCAGCTTTTTTACCAGTTGGGATGTGTTAGTTGCCTTCTGGGCGTGCATCTACTGGTACAGTTTTGTCTGAAAATAATCCTTTTTTTTTGCATTAAGACTAAACTAAAGCACAGTAAATGAGGATGCTTGGGAGATTCACTTCAGAAGTGATCTAAAATAAATGTACAATAATAGACACGACCAAGCACCCTCTGTTTGAATGGTTTTACACCCTGTTTTACAGGGGAGCTTGGTGCAGGCTGTATTTTCTCTGCCTTTAGTGGGAAGGGCTGTCATGCATGCAGAGTCAATGAGGCATTATGGCTTCTAGGGAGCAAACAGGTGTTGGTGAGTGTCTGTTTCACACCTTCCATATCATCCTCTTCCTGAGATAATGTTGGTTGTGGTAGTGACAGTTCAGTCCATATATGTAAAGCATGTGTCAATGCATAAGCCTTCTAATATAAAATGAACATTGTATTTTGCATTGTTTTTATTTAGACATAAGCTTGTGTTCTGTTGTGAAGTCAAAAACAGTGCATATGAGCTTTTAGTGCTTTTTATTACAAAACCTCTCAGAATAGTTTTGTGCAGGTTGAGGCAGGAAACAGAATTGAAGGCTCACGTAGAATTGAAGCAAAGACAACCGAAAGGGAGCCCACAACCTCACTGCATTCCACCTGTTCCCAAACCAGCAGTGACATATCAGTCATGGTCTTAACTGGCTTTTCCCCCTCAGTCTTTCCTGCAGGTGTTTCAATGACAGATTTCTCAGTATCTACAGATACTGTGCAGCACTTCTTCATTATCAACGAAGTTACATATGTTCCCCACTATGTAACCAAGATACTGCTTGTTGCAAATTAAGCCCATTACTTTTTTTGCTTGCTATGTGGACAGAAACAATTTGTTCTTTCAGAAGTTTCTTCTGTATTGGAACATTTCTCAATAGGTTCTGTTAGCCCAAAGACTTTATTTAGGGCTACTGCAATTTATCATTTGACTTTCATTAGACTATATTAAGAAAAGCCAATTTTCTGTCTTCTTAACTTCCCTCTGATTAATAATAGTTTGCAAAAAATGTCTTAGAATGGAAAATTCATGTAACATATTTTATGTTTATTATAAGGGACTGAATTTAAATCAGTTATTATGAACTTGTTTTTTTCTTTTTTAGAGAAAAAAATTTGCATCCTTTATCACATGAGAGCTTATAGATATATTAAAATATTGGGTAAGAGATAGATCTAGGGTGTAATTCCATTATATGTGGAAAAAAATCTCTGAAGATATTTCATGAAGCAATACAAAAAAATAAACTTTTTCTAAGAATGATGAAGAGTATGTAATATATGGCTATGAATGTTTTTACATTTAAGTAATGATTGAAAAATTGTTCAGAGAACCTATTCTAAACTTATCTAGTAAGAAGACTCACTCACTATTTTGGAATCATTGTGTTGATGTTTCATGCTTCCCACACAATCTTAGAAAGCTTGCCTTCTTCCTTCTTAGGAAAAGTTTTATTTTTCAAGAGATACCACTGCTGGGATATTATAAAACTACCATGAATGTTTTGTATTAACGTATAAAACATGCATACTCCTAAATGTATGCATTTTCTGAGAGGAATGAAAAATATTTTGTAGCTTGGACATTTGGTTTCACGATGCAGCAAGCTTAGATACAATTTATCTTATAGCAAGTGGATTATGAAGAAAAATGCCGACCCACATGGATTTTCAATTATCATTCTACATTATTTCTTGAGGGAATTGGATTTCAGTGCCCCAGTCAAGGCCTCAAACTGCTTTGCACCGGGCTGTTACATGGGGGCAAAGTAGAGGCACACTCTGCCAGATGACCCTTTTATTTGAGGCTGTGACAAGGCCGTGGGTGCTGGAAGAAGGTGTTTGGGTGTTTCTGGAAGCAAGTGTGTTTTGGCAGGTGGCTTTGCAATCTCCTGACTCTAGTTGCCCTCTGTTTGGCCAACACCAGATATAAAGACACACAGAAAAACCTCACGTAAAAGAACATATTAGGTTATTTAAATAGAAAGAAAGTATTTAGAATATAGCGTATTGCTGAGAAAATGAATGAGCAGTTCAACAAAGCCAAAATAGCACGTTGTCTTGCTTTTGTGCAGCACGGTCCAACAGTTAAAGACCAAGCCTAATGAATTTATTATTTGTTTTGTTTTAGAACGCCAAGCGTGTACATCCATGGCTGGCTCCAGCGTCCTTCCCTCCAGCATGGCCGGTATCAGCAAGGAGCTGCTGGAGCTGCAGCACCTGATCCAGTTCCCGGAGGAGGTTGCCAGCATTCTGACCGAGCAGGAGCAGGAGCTCTACCGCAAAGTCCTACCCATCGACTACCTCTGCTTTCTGACCAGGGATCTGGGTAGTGCTGAGTGTCAAAGCAAGCTGCCATCTCTTAAGGCATCCATATCTGCTACTATTCTTTCTTCTCACAATGGTGAACATAATGCTGTAGAAGATCTTGTGACCAGGTTTAATGAGGTAAAACAAAACTTTTAAATTGCTTTTCATAGGGGTTATTACCTGATGTGTGGTTTAGTTATTTCCCTTATCTCTCCAAGCCAAATTTAGCTGTAACAATAAATTTTTAAAATATAATTTAAGATGACCAGTCATTTAGCTAAATAACTTGCGCTGAATTTAATAGGAGTTATGTGATCAATTTGCTCAGTGAGGCTGGGAAACAGTGACCTACCTTTTTCTTGTACATTGTAAAGTAAACAAGAAGAAAAAAAATTACAGACTTCTAATTCTTCATATTTATACTGACAGTATGGGGTACAGTTTCAGTCAGTTTATTATTTTGTTTATGTGCTGGAGTTCTATTTATTTGTTTTGGATTCTTGTAGACTAAACATGATCTTAGGAGTCAGCACAGAAGTATTATAAACTAGAATCTTCTATATTTGCTACAATATAGCTACACTAACCTGCACTATTTATTTAATCACTGTGTGTGTCTTGAGCATTGTTACACAAAGAAGTGTCACTTGGCATGACATTTTCACAAGCCAAATGTTGAGTTCTTTAGTAAGATTTTATTTTGTTTTCAGGAAGGTGGTTTTCTGACAAGTTTAATAGAAAATTGGTTAACGATTGAGAAAATTATTTAAAAATCCACCCAAAACCCCAACCCAAATCAAAAATCAAACCAACTAAATAAAAACTAATGTTTTATCTGCAGAAACATGGAACAGTATCTTCTTTTCTAGAATTATAGAAGTGCAATGAAATGAAGATAAAGTTGACTTAATGCTTTTTTAGTTTGTTATCCACTGCATTCTTATGGTGAGTGAGATGAAAATCCTGCAAGTAGTAAAAAAAAACAGTATAAAATTAAGTAAATGTAGAAGAATGAGTAGTAACCCCCAGTGAACTTCCTGTGGGCTGGGCAAAGAAGAATCAGGGAGTGAATATTTAGCATGTTTCAAGGGGTTTCTTCTTGCATGTTACTGAGATTTAGCAACTAAAATAGGGTAAATATATTGGCTTCTCTCACCTCATTCAATGATGGGAACATACATAAAAGTTGCAGCTGCAATATTCAGTCTTTAAACAGAGCCTAAAAATAGTTCAAATTAGCTGCAGTAGCAGTACTCCAGAAGATGCTGTGGCTGGAGGGGACTGCAGGTGCTGACCCTGCTGGGACCCTCCCTCCTGGGGCTTCTCACGGGGCTGGGGCCGAGGGAGATGAGGTGCACTGGCCAAGCTGTGCCACAGCCTGCCCGGGCACAGTGCCAGGGCAGTCATCAGTGTTACAAATTAGACCGGCCACGATTGTGTTCTGACTTTGAAGGTCACAGGATTGAAAAGCAAGTGGGTCCTGAAGAAGTCTTGTCAGAAATGACTGAGTCTGTTCCATATCAATGACAATTTTAGCATTAAAGTTGCCTTTTGATAAGATAGTCAGCATTATGTTTCAGTATTGGAGTTTTGTGACTTCCCAGTTTTTGTTGTCTAGTGTTCCTTGTTTGGTAATTGTACAGAATAGTTTTTTATACCATTTGAATTAATTCCCAAATATTTAGTGCACAGATTCTTTGGTATTTAGTGCAATAGATTATTTGAAGTATAATCTGGAACACATTTTTAAAAACATAGCTGTTATATGTTTAAATGGAGTTATTGTAAAATATTTACTGCTTATAATAAATCACTGGTTTGCTATATGCTTTGTCTTATGGTGGAGTATATCAGTTGCCATAGCCAATCACAAGCGTGAACTCTCAAAATGTCTTTGTTTATAAATGGAAAGAAAATTCTTGTACAAAGAGTCATGATTTTGTTGGCAAAACTCAGTGAGCACTTGCTGATTTTTTTGGCATTCCCTATAGAAATACTGAAGTGTATTTATAATGTGGGAGCCAAAATTACTTTTAGGATGACAGGCTTCTGATACATGATGGGGAAAAACAATTCCATGTCATTTTTCTGTTAAATAATAATTATATTATTTAGAGTATTTTTCATGAAGCAGTATACTTTTTAGTATGTTTTTCTGACAATACATATTAAGGAGGAACACTCTATAAAACTTGTGTAAAATGACAGTCAATCCTGAAGTGCATTCAGTATCACCAGCTATAAATAAAGCCTGTAGTCTTTAAGGTTTGATTAAAAATGTAATTGTGTAATAGTGGAGCCTTGGGCACAACACGTACTCATTGGTGGGACAGCTCATACTTAATTTCCTGCTAATAATATCCAATTGATCTTAGTTTCATCAGAGCAAGACTGTAGACCAAGCTAAAGACAGATATTCTTTCCTATTACTAAATGTAATTAAAAGCTGATTCTGAATTAGTGGGTAGTGTGGGAGGATTAGTGTGAAATACAGTGACATCTACCTTTACAAAAAACTATTGGCTCTAAGTCTCTAAGACTATGCACTCAACAGTAGCAGTAATATATTTTCTTGCTCTGATGGAGCAGAAATGCTCTTTTTCTGCTCTGGCTATGTGAAGTTTAGTTTTCAAGGATGTAAAACTGTAGAAAGAAACTGCTGAGATTCTGCAGAGTTAGCAGAGCCCTGGCAGCTGGGAAGTTAGGAAAATGGTACCTAAGTGTACCCTACCAACTGTAATGTACTTTTTTGCTATCTCTCCTTGTTGACTACTGTGACTTTCTCTTCTTGATTTAGTTATTTTCTCTGTTTTTTTTATTACATGAGTTCACCCTGCTTCTTTACATGAAGTGACATGTGCTCCTTCCTCAGTGTCATGTGCCACAGTCTTCCTGGGACTCTGTTTCTTCTTCTGTCCCTTTGACCCCCCAGGCTCTTCCACCTTTATGACTGACTCCAGCCACCCTTCTGCCTGTTACCAGCACAGTGATCACAGAGACACAAGCACAATGCACATGTTGTAAACATTTATGTGTATGTAAGCATTTAAAATAATTTCAATCATTGCTTTATATAAACATGAAAATAGTATCTTGTAACTTCAAGTAAGTTTCAAGTAAGAGAAAACCAATAAAACTTTAAACAAAGTGAAACATTCAATTTTCCATGCTGGCATATGTGGACAGAGCAATTGTGGGTTCTTAGATTGAAAGTTGCACCAGATTGGAAGGTCATTCAGACAGCTGACTGAAGTTAGTCCCACTTCTGACCTGAAAATGCAAAATCAGAAGTCAAATGCAGAAGGTGTTTTTTTTGAAAGATATGGTTGCCAAAAATAAGCTAAAAAGGTAAAAAAGTTTGAACAGTGTTAGTGTAGCCCTGCTACTGGAGTGGGTTCATCACTCACTATATCAGTCTTAAAATCAATAAAGGTAATTAAAATATGGTTACTTAGGACACTTAGTGATGTTAGTTTTATTTTTAATGGTTAAATTATGAAAGTTTTTTTCATTGTTCGTTCAAATACAAATTTAAACCTCACTAGCAAAGTAGAGACATATCATTTTACTGAAATAATGGAATGTAAATAAATATTGCAGTCTGTCTCTTAGTTCAGCATTTTTTTGCAATGCCTAAATGGGTTTGCATAATGCTTTTTAAAAGATTGTGTTTGTACAAATATCAAACTTTTTCCAGTCCTTGTTTGGAATAGTGTTTAATCAGATTTAAAATGGTAAATGTTCTCTGTAATGCTATATAATTTCACACAAGCATGGAAAGTAAACCATTTGTTAACAAGACACGCAATTTAAAATATTCAGATATTAAAAATGCATCTGAAAATTATCTTGCATATTATGCTGAGTCAAAAAAATTTAATAATTAAACCTCAGTGAAACCCATGTAAAAAATTCCAGTTCTGTTTGATACATAGAAGTGTACAGATTTATACACAGGTATTCATCAATATGCACTGACAGGTTTGTGCACAATTAGCAGTGCAGAGGAACTCACTGCAGCCAGCTTTAGTGCTAATGCTGCATACTGCTAGTGTTTCTTAATAATTGTTTTTAAAGGGAGAAATTGGACTATCCTAATACATTAAGAATTCTGCTTTTAAACAAAATAATGTTTTTTCCTCTTGCCATGATTACCATATGATATCTGATGAAGGTTATTATTCATGTTCTTCAGATTTTACTCAAATTTCTTGTTTTTTGTTAAACAAAATTACTAAAACTAGAATGACTTGGTTAAATGGGTTATAGATTGCTATGCTTATTCTTTGGATTCCTTAAAAGTCATCTTCTTGTTTTGTAGGCAGAGACTTTTCATACACATACTTAATTTTGTCACTATTGAAGTTTCTTGCTTTCTTGCTCCAGTGTAGGCAGTATTTAAATCAGCTACAATTTGTTATAGAACGATATCCATGACTAATTTATGGTAGGAGTTATAGAAGGTATGTACTGTAATCTTACCTTGTGGTAAACCAGAAGATTTTGTTTTACTTGCTAGCAACGATAATTGTTAAACTTCAGGCAGGCAGCTGTGTTTGGTAATTTCACCTCCAAAAGCTGCATCTCTCAAGTATTATGAAGTTCCTAAAAATGTAATATAAATATAGAAGACATAATTTCTTCCATGTAGCATCAGCCACTGAAGTATGTAAAGTATGTAGCTTGGGAATTGCTGTAAAAGTTTTACAAACTGAAGTGCTGGCAAACTGAGTGTAAAACACTACAGATGATAAAACACTGCAACTGGAAATTGTTAATAATGTCCTCCCTCAAAGCACCACTACATTTGCATTCTCATAAAATATAAGATTAAGTTAATATAATTAACTTTAAAAATAAGTTAATTTCAATTTTAAAAAACCACATAATACATTCTCTAGGAGCTATATAGAGGATGGTTATGAATTTATATAAATAAAACTGGATATGTATTCATGTATATATATGTGTGTGTGTGTGTATGTATGAATTATCATAATCTTGAGTATTTGAAGGCTGAAATAAGAGAATGAGTGAAGAAAATCCTTGGCAAATTTAGGGACACAGTTAATAATTCAACATTCATGAAATGCTGTTCCTTCCTGTGTACTACATGGAGCGAGGTTCCCATAGAGTGAATGATAAACGGTCCTGTAGGTTACACTTGTACAGAGATTTAAGGTCATGTACCATAACTTGAGGATCAAGTTCCATCAGGAGTGTCTCTTTCGTGTCCTTCATGTTTTATTAGTAAAAGCAGCTGACCCTCAGTAATAAGCTATGTCCTGCCCCTGACAGATGGGTAGATTTTTGTCTGCATATGAATTTGCCTTGAAATCAGTGGTAGTTCAATAATTAGGTAATCAAAAACATAGGCTCATTTTACATTTTTAGTGACTGATATATATTTCCCATGTTTAAAAGTAAAAAAAAAAACATAACACTGAGTAAAAATATGTCTTTCCCAAATGCATTAGCAATAGCTAATCTGAATTTACTTGAAGTCTTTGATCAAAGTAAGATAAGCCAAAAAGACTTCTAAAAAATTATTTAAATTAGTTATTGAACAGATTTTGGTGCAGTTAAAATAGTAGAGATAAAAAGCTTGAAACTGTACAGATACTTTTACTACAAATTGTAGTACATACTGTTCAGTATAGCTTGCATTGCCAAGACATCGGGCACAGGTCCTGTGTGCTCAGATTCAGATTTGGAGAAGATTCCTGCATCTTTTAAACTTTGCAAATGAGGCTACTTTCTATGTATCTGAATTTAATCTGGCTCAATGTTGTTAGTGCTTCTATTAGGGCACCAGAAAATATTTAAATCTTAAGCAAACATCTATTAAATTTTGCTTGTTTAGTACTTAATATTAGTGTCCAGTAATCCTGAAATACACTAATTTTTATCCATCTGAATGAAAAGACTGATATTATTATCAAGTTGTTTAAGTGGATTGTGTGTTACTCTATTACTTTTCTTGTGTCTTGCAATCATGTGTATTATCGTGATGAAGCCAGGATACATTTTCTCATGCTTTTCAGACTCATCAACAGTGCAGCGGAAATCTAATTATAGGTTTGCTGTGATGATTTCTGTTCTGAAGGGAGCTTAAAATGAATTCCATAAACAGAACTATGTAAGTCAAGTGTGAAAAAAAGAAGTAAACTAAGGAAATAATTATTACTGTGTTGTAACGTAGATTGTGATCTGATGTTAAAGTGCTGTCCAACACAAAAACTTAGTCCAAAAAGTGTTACTGCTCTGTCTGACAAATACTTGCAATGTATTTTGATCTCCTTGGCAAGGCTACTCCTGTGCACTCTTTGGCTGGGATGTGCTGTGTGTGCTCAGACACTGCCTGAGCCCTGAAGCTCTGTGCTGATGTCATGGAGCTTGGTACCAAGGCAGCTGATGGTGCTTCATCCTCAGATCGGGTGTTCTTGGCTGTGGTGCAGCTGGGGACGTGGCTCTGCAAGCCAACCAAGAGGCAAGTGCTGCAAGAGGACAGCAAGTGCTTCTCTTCTGTATCCACTTGACTGGACTGTCCAGAAGTCAGAGCTTGCCAGGGTGAAGCTTCCATTTGCTCTCTTCCCCTGCTAGAAAACCCCTGGGTTTAGTGACAGAGAAATTGTGTCACATCTAAACAATGCCTGTGCTAATTGCTTGCCAAAGTGGAAAAAATAAGATTCTGAATTCAGCTTCCAGGTGAATCCCATAGCCACGAAGAAATAAGTACCTACAGAGATCTTGTCTGCTTTTGTGTGAGGTGCATCTAGCTCAGCTGTACACAGACAGCATCTGAAGAAACCCAATTCTGAGCTCCCATTTCAATGAAAATTTGATAAGTTTGTTATTTCTTGAATACCATCTGTTCCTGACCTCCAGGAAAAATTAAAATACCAACATTTCTAAAGAAGGCGTTTTCATTATTTCTCAGGAGTGGTTTGTGTCTTTAGATGCTCTCTTCTGTCCCCTGATTCTGCCCAATCTGTTAATATCTGCCTTTGCTTAGTCTATTTTAAAATTAAAATATTCAGACACATTTTTTTTCTTGTTTAGTGAAAGATTTTTTAAAATGTTTTCTACTCCTCTATTCTGCAGGAGTGAGCATGAACTTCATGGTGCCTTTTGTACTCTTCTTTTGCTCTTACACCTTATACAGTATCTCAAGTCTGCAAAGGCTCACCCATGCTGCCCTTTATAGTTTTTTGTTTGTGTTTACAGGTTGTAAAAGTTCATCATGCTGTTTATAGTGGTCTTAAACTCTCTATTAAATAGAATTTCAACATGTGGCTGCCCTAGTTTAAAGGTTTGCTCTTAATGGAGAGTCTGAAGTCAGTTGCCTTTTTGGACATTCTATCTCAACTTTGATACTGTTTTCTCCTGATCATTACATCTTTACTACCTTAGATTAAAACATATCTGTTTAAAATGTATGATGCTTTAAAATTTCTAAAACCATATTAATCAAGTTGTTGCCACATTTGGTATTTCATAGCAAATATTAATTTTTTTTTTGTGAGACTGCATATTTAGCAGTTGCATTCCCTAGCACAGGCATTTCTGGAAAATTAGAATAATATCCAAAAATAATATGTCACTTTATTCCAGCATACAAAAACAAATCTGTGCCACAGATCTGATTGTTCTGTTTCATACTTTCTGATTTTTTAATGGATTTATTTTATTACCTTTTATTCTGGTTTTGCCCTCATTTGACCCCTGTGCCATGCAGTGGCATTGTGGTTTGTCTTTTCCGTACCTTCATGCTCTTCAGGTGTTTACTTCTTTGTTGACTGAGTTTTTATATTTCAGGAGTAACTAAGTGAATGCATCAAATAAAATTTTAGCTGAATTCAGATTCTCACTCTGATCTGCTGCAGTGGTTATTGTGCTGCCCCTGATGCACACAACCTATTACAGCATCCCCATAGTCACTCCTGAGTATGACCCCAACAAATGAATCTTCAAGAATTCAGTCTTAAAAGTGTGATTTTCTTTTTCTATATAGGGAGTATGACTTCTTCTCATATAGACGTTTCTCATTTATTGTTCTTGACTAATGTTGGCCTCAGACAGGTTAAATAGTAACTTAAATTCTTTGTAGTGTTTGATTTTTCTCCCTCAGGAGTGGGTGGCTTGGAGCACTGAATCCGTATAGACTTGCATAAATACAAACCCTATATATTTTCAGTGGGATTATTTTCCTGTTAGTACTAACACATTTACATTTTATTTCACATGCTTGGTTTTTAAAATAAAAGTCTATGGCCCCTGAGGGGCAAACTAGCATTTCCTAATTTTTATAAGCCTCTCTTCACACTGGTATTATCTGTAAACACTTGAGTCCTTCAGGACCAAAGAATGGAACACAGTGTCAGTAAACAAATCACGTTTATTGCCTCCTAAGTGTTTACACAATGACAAAAATCAAGCCTCCGGGGAGTCATATTGTAAAAAGAAACAGTTGGTTTAAATTAGTTTTCCATGTGAAATATAGCTACTTTTTATGGATGTTATGGGAACATAAACTGGAAAGAAAATCTGCACGCTGATAAAATGAAGGGTTGATTTTTATTTGTTTAAATGCAAACAGAATTCTTGTACTAAGTTGATTTCTGATTCCAGCACTAATTAATTACCAAAGAGAAGTTGGTAGTATGGCCACACTTTGGAAGATGGGATTTCTTTTTATTTGCTTCATTTGTGATCTTGCAAACAGATAATGCAAATTATCTGAAATGTTCAATGCATATAGGAATTAGCAAAATTATGCATTAAATGCATCTAGTTTTATGAAATTAACCAAAACAAAAAAATTCCAATTTAGCAACTTTCATTGTTCATATTGTTAACAAGGGTTATGTGGGGCTGAGATCTATAAGCCATGTTAATGAGAAATTATGCTGAAGATCTCTCTGGCAGCTTTAGAAATCAGCACTAGCTGAAGCTGTCTATTTTCTTCTGTGGCATCAATGCATATTGAGAATATCTTACATTAAGATGCTGTAGCTTTTTGCTTAATAAAAGTTTTTCTAGACTAGTTAATGATTTAACTGTTGTAATGTGAATGTCACTGTGTAGGTTGTGTTTGCAGTGCATATGTGATCTGGCTATGAGTGTGTAAGTGGAATTTTGACTGATACCCTCCTGATGGAAGAAACCAAACAAATCCACATTATCTGTCCAGTATGCATGAATGCTCCAAGGGACTTTGCTTTGGCTGACCTTACTGTCTGTTTGGTTTTACCAGGTGAGCTCGTGGGTTACCTGGCTGATCCTGACTGCAGGCTCTATGGAGGAGAAACGAGAAGTCTTCTCATATTTGGTACACGTGGCAAAATGCTGCTGGAATATGGGCAACTACAATGCTGTAATGGAATTCCTGGCAGGGCTAAGGTACTGGCAACTCTTTTTTTTTAAATGGCTTTTCAGTGATAATTTCATTGCAGTTTCTGTTAAGCAGATGTCTCTGGAGTACAATGAAACTAAACAAAAATCCATGGCTAAGCCCCATCATCTCATGCTGTGACTTTCTAGTAATCCCTTTTCAAAAAGTGAAGCATGCTAAACTCTTTCTTTTTTTCTCAAAATGCTCTGAAGACTCCATGAGTTTTCCTGGTGCATGCTGAATATGTTGCGTTAGAAAACTTTTTCTTTTTTCAACAGAAATTTTTAAAAATGTGAAAACAAGATGGGAAAGCAGTTGTGGTTTATCTAATAAGCTACAACTAATGTAACTTGGGGTTGGAATCTCCAGAATATAAGTGAAACATGATCATGGTGATGCTCTAAAAGGATCGGTCTTAATTGTAAAAAATAAACTACCTGAAAATGACAGAAAACCCACAAAAGACCAAAGTGCCAAATCTGTTTTTTAACCCCTCTGATTTACTTATACAGACTGATTTTTGGGATCTCATGCTGCCATGGTCTTATGTAGAAAGACTTGCATTATCTCAAGGAGGAGGCGGTAGGGGCTCAAAGACAGCTCTTTGTGTGCTTTCCCCTGGAATGCCAGGCTCCTGTAGGGCCAGGGCAGCAGCAGGCAGTGCCTTACACTGCCAGTTCAGAGGGCAGCAGATGGCACTGAACAGGGAAGAGTTAAGATCAAGTTTCCCATCTCTTGGCTTTGACCCTGGTTGTATAACATGTTTGTGTAACAAAGCTCTAAAGTGTTTGCATTGGTGTTCTTTGTGGTCTAGTAAGCATCTCATTGAGCTGTTTGTTTATAGTTTTGGTATATAAAGCTCTTTTGGAACACTCATAGACATGGGGAGTATATTTCAGCAGAATACATCCACAATCTCTAAGCCATGTAAGTTGTAAGGGAAAATGCAAGGCCAATTAAGGGCTTAATTTTGTCTTTAATGCATCCGCACAGCACAGGAGAAAAAGGAGAGGAAGGCTTATGCTGGTGAGCAGCATTTCTGAAACAGGAATGGAAAGTGGGGTTAAGGGCAGTCTACTGTGAGTGCATCTTTGCATCTTTTGGCATGTCTGAGGCCAGGGGTGGGAAGAAAGGCCATGTGATTACATAGACATGCAGCTCAGAAGGTAACAGCCCAGAGGCACTCATAGTCCTTGGAGATATTTCTGTTGAAATCAGAATTTCTTTTCAGCTACAGCTCTGCACTGGTGCCTGAGAGCTTGAACATGGTCCTGACTTCCTTATTTCTGTGAAAGTAAATAATTTGTGAGCAAACTGGGGAAGAAATCAATGTTAATTTAAAAAAAATTAATTTAATTTAAATCCTCTAACTTTTGCTTACTATATGGATTGTTCATAATATAGCTGAAGGAGTTTGTAAGAAACACTCTGATTTATCTTTATGCTGTTTCCTCAGTCTTTTCTTATTTCTTTATGGGCCCTTAGAAATTTTAGGCAATGACACAATAAAAATGTTAGAAAGCCTTCTGGAATGTTTTATGTTGCTGGGCTTTTACTAAAATGTGAAATACTGCTCCAGTAGATCAGACTGCTAGTTTCTCATTTTTAGTTCTGTTCTTTGATAATTCAAAGGGGAGAATTTTTATAAAAATAATGGTCTTGATTTCATTCATTCATTTCTGAGCAATTATCATTTCCTCTATTACATATATGCTGCAGATGTTGGACTTGAAGGTAATTTGTTTAAATTTTTAAAATAAATTTTGCGATCTCCTCTTGCAATAGGTCAAGAAAAGTTTTAAAAATGTGGCAATTTATGGACCAGTCTGATATTGAAACCATGCGAAGTCTGAAGGATGCTATGGCACAACATGAGTCATCATCTGAATACAGGAAAGTGGTCAACCGGGCACTCAATATTCCAGGCTGTAAAGTTGTTCCTTTCTGTGGTGTATTTTTAAAAGAGCTCTGTGAAGTTTTGGATGGAGCATCAAGCCTCATCAGACTCTGTCCACGATATAACTCCCAGGATGAAACACTAGAGGTAAATGAGGCAAATATTCTCAGATGTTATATTCTTAACCAGTGCTTTATTTTATATAATCTTAAACACAAGCATCATCAAATTAAAGTTTCTAAACCAGACTGTTACTAGATTGGTCAGTTACATGGACCTCAGTTTAATTCTCATAGTTCCTTAGCAATTTAGATTTGGTTGTTCCTACCTAGTTCAATGTCAGAGTACTGAGAAATCACCATTACTAATTAGGAATCTTGTTTATACTTTGGATTAAATAAGTATGTAAAGCCCGAAATGTGTAATTATTTTTTGCTAAATACTCTGACCTTCCACTTAATTCACTGGGAATTAGAAGTTTGCAGTTTCTTAACAGCAGAATTTAGAAGCTGAGCAGATCAAGCTTTTCCTCTATGGAAAGAAACTATTCTTAGGAGTTTTATTATTGTAGTTTGAAAAGAAAATCGCCCCTGTTAGATGAAACATTAAAGACTGAGGCAGTTTTTTTTAAGTTTTCAGGAGTTACTTTAACATGTATTACTTGATTTATTAAATTATTTGGTCTGTTTTGGGTTGAAATTAAGCACAAAATCCCATGGGAAGCAATTAGGAAATATGCAGTAAATATTCTTATTAGTAAAAATTTCTACAGTGCGTAGTAGACAACACAAACTTCTATTTGTAACTATACTAATCTTTTAGATATCTCTATAGTTTGTTTCAGATTACAGTGGACAAGATAATTTCTTACAACGAGTAGGCCAAGATGGTTTAAATAATCCAGAAAAAGAATCAACAACAAACAATATCTTCCAAACTATCCGGAGCTGCAGTCGCAGTTTGGAGTCTGAGGAGGGTGAAGATAATGTCAGTGAAGGGAGCAATTCAAGGAAAAACTCCTTGAAGGACAAAAACCGCTACCAGTAGGTCTCATTTTATTTACTGTCACCACATCTATATATCATGGTTTTAGTCTTTGATTTTTTTTTTTACCAAGGCTTACCTTTAGAAATACGAGCAACTTTAACATCTTTCCTTGTATTTATCCATTTCCAGTCCAGAACTTTTATCCCCTGATACTCAACTGCTTGAAAAATCTCTGTATAGCTATATTTTCCTTTATGATGTAATTACTTCCTCTCATGATAAGGGTAAATCCTTTTTGTCTTACACAGAGCTTTAAAAATCTACAGTTACAATTACAATTTTGATCTCTAGCGACAGGAATAGCACCAGGACATATTTGTTATCAGAGCTCAGAACATTATATTCTGCATGCTCAGGCAGTGTTCTGGCCCCTTCAAAAAAAGATTATTTATTATCCTTTAAAAGACTTCTTCTTTTAAGGACATGTTACTTTGAGGGGTTTCAGTTTTGTCAGGAAACATTCATGTGTAAGTACATATTTTGAATTTTCAGGTTGCTGTAGTCCTGCTATTTTGCAAATAAGTTTACTTCACTTTGCCCTGTGTAAAAAAAGCCCAGTGTTCAGTAATCTGATTTCACTTTGAAGACTGTACTAGTCACCAGCAGGAAATGGAGCAAATGCAAAGTTTAGAACATCACATGATCTTCCAGAAAGTTTCATTGCAAAGCCCATGTAGACATAGGTGGGTCAGGTCAGCTTTCAACTAAGTACCTGTGTTAGACTAATTTCAAATTTAGTAACAGAACTTTACTGCTCTGAGGTGAAGCACTGTAAATTACATGAGAGCTTGCATAAAAACATGCTTAAGTCGCTGCTTGAGCTATTTTACTGATAATGTGTGTCAGAAATATCAATACGTTCAGAACCATCCAACTTACTTCAGCTACTTAAATATTAAATCTGAGTGACTGCCTGAGGGGCAACTGCTATCTTCCTGTTTAAAATGCATTTATTTCATTAACATGTAATTCCAAATTTCATTTCAAATAAATAATCATTATTTCCTGAAAGAATGCTTTCTAATAAAATTATTCACATCTGGCTTTAGTTGCTTCTGGGAAGTGATGCACTAGATTAAGCCAAGGACAGACCCAATTCTCTGCCCACATATGCTATCTCTTGACTTACTTCAAGTAACACTTTCAAGTACTAGTACTTTCTTCCAGGAATTATTTTTTGTTAATTAATATGCTTTAAAATCAACTTGCAAATCACAGTTCAAGTGGAGAATAAGGAAGGCATATAAATACTTCACTTGGGTGAACAAAAGAGAAATTAAATGGAGATCCTTTTTTTATGTCTTTATGAAATAATTTCTTGGTAAATTACTTACCCTTTATTCATAAAGTAATCTAGTGAGATGCACTGCAAACTAGAGTAGGAATTCAGTTTTTTAAAAAACCTAGTGGGAATCTAAAATGAAAATTTAAAATTTAAATGAACAAAACTGCTTATAGGTAGTTAAAGTTGTGTTTCCTGGTTCAGGCTACTAACTACTCAGTTATGAGTGTCTGTACTTCTGATGCAGTAAATACTGATTTTAACAGTAAAATATTTGTAGGACAATAGTTCTGAAAGTACTGTTTTAACTCGAGTGTCTTACAGGCTTTGGAAATTCCTTATTCATTTGCCATGTCTTTCCTGGGCATGTGGAGAACAGGGTGAGGCACAGGAGCAAATTGCTGGAGGCAGAAGGGCCATGTTCTGTTGTACTTGTATGGAGGCTATGTTTAGTTTATTTTTATTCCTATGAGCAGCTAAAGGCTTTTAAGGAAGAAATTTAGTCCTCTTTCTTGCAAGACCTGTCATATTTGCATACAGTGTTATAAAATCCAAATTATATCATAATTATGCATTATCTGATAATTGTAGCATTATGGTCATAAAAGCAGACAAATACACTGCATAACATGTTTCTCATTACTTTATAATTGTAAGAAAGATTTTCAATTAGGTTTTCTTTTGATGATTTGGATTAGTATTGTGGAACATGAATGCACCAAAGCTGGTAGGTTAATTTGATTTGAAGAAAATGAAAGGCATCTAATAAAATCAGTGGGCAGTGGGTATAATTACTTTCCTAGTTGCGTTAGCAAATAAGCTCTACCACTCTGTAGTCAGTGACCCATCTAATTTCCCTGGATTTCTGTACATGCCAGATAAATATCAAATATTAATCTTTCTTAGAACTCTGTTCTGATGATTAATAAATTTAAAAAAAAATAAAGGTATGCAGGAAAATTAGAAAGAAAACCAACCAAATTTGAAACAGAGTTTTTATGGAATTGTTGATTATTGAGTGACCTATGAAGATACTCCTTCTTCTTCCTTCTTAAGGGAAAGCCTCAATTTTTTTTTTCTTTTTGTATATCTTACAATTTTCTCCTCTAAAACTGCAATTTGTGTCACTGTTTCCTTTATCTTTTCATTTCCTTGCCTCTCAGGGCAGCACATGTAAAGAAAGCCCCTGGTCCAGCTCAGGCTCTGTAAGTGCTCTCAGTAATTGGCAGCAGTGTCGCTTTTGGCAGCTCGTGTCAGAGGCTCCATTTCTGTGTGTGGTTCTGTGTGTGTGCTTGGCTTACCTGCTTCTTGTGCATTTTAATCTGCAGCCTGCAACTAGTGAAACAAGGCATAAACAAAGCTCTGTCTGCTGTGATAGATTCCTCCAGCCATGCACAGCTACTCTCCAAATATGTTATAGCATTTTTACAGAGACTTGTTTGATTGTTTTGAGGGAAAAGGGGAGAGGGAGCTGCTTCAGTTGTTTGTTTCATTTTAAAATATAATTTTATATAATACAGATAAATATTTCAATTTACATGTGTCTGGTAAGAATCTAATAAGGCAATTTATATCAGCTCAGTTAAAATGCATGGCCTTTATTTGCAGGACTATTTCTTAAAGAAACAAAGCTGCACTTAAGACTGACGCAGTTATTTTATCAGTCTGTTCACCACAAGCAATAAAACCTTAACCTATTTGCCACTTTTTTATACATTTGGTGAAGAGACAGGGATCTCACCCATTAATAAATTCATAGAGGAATCCTTGCTGTATGGAATAAGGGAAAAATTCAGATTAATTTGTCATCCAGGTAGAGGAGAGTTTGAGGAAAAGCTGATGGTCATCTGTGCTGTTTAGCACTGGGGGAGATGGTGTATGTGACTTGGAAACATGGCATGAGTCATCTTTGGCTTAGTTGGTAGGTAAGGGGCAGGAACTGGGAGTACTGTGGTGCTAGAAAGGGGAAGCAAAGAGGGTAATGGGACAAGATATCTTGGAAGATATGTAGAGGAAGATGGTTTGTATTTTATTGCCTGGATATCCTTAGGAAAATGTGCTTCATTAGTTCTGTTGTACATAGAAGAGTTTGTCCTTGTTTATGTTCATTGAAGTACCCAAATATTGAACATTTGTGCATTCATATATATTAGAAGCTTGACATTTCATTTTAACTATCTCTTGTTCTGTATCTACTGTTTCCAATTTTGGCAGATATGTCAGAAATTTTGATTCCTGCATACAAGTTTTATGTTAATATTTTCCTTCAGTAAAATAAAATTTTTTTATGGAAAGTATCTGATAAAATTCTTTGTGCATTTTTATGAGGAAGGTATGTATTTTAACCAGCATTTTACTAGAGTTAATTGGAATATTATATAATGTAAAAGGTCTGCACATTAAATCAGTAATAGAAGAGAGACTAGCAGTTCTGTCTCAAATGCACTATATCCTGATAACAGTTTCCCCATATGGCACTTAATATTTCATCTAAAGCAATCTTACACAGCAGATTTAGCAACTGGTATCACTTGACCTTAAGAACCAATCAGATAATTTTTATTATTAATGCAAAGTTTAGAAAGTTTTAGGAAAATATATTGTTTTGGGAGTTATAAGTAATTGTAGCAGCATCTCTTAATTGATGCAAAATTGCAATGACATAAATTGTAATACTTCAAAAACTACACAAGTTCCTGTAAATCACAATTATATAGTGATGATAGTATTCCATTTATTTAAACTGCAGCAGATAAAATATTCATCAAGCATCGCATAAATCAGCACATGTATCACTAAATAGAAATCTCTTATCTTTGCTCACGTGCAGATTTCTCATCGGAGACCTTTCAGATTCTGAAAGTGACATATTTGAGCAGTTGAAAGAATGGGACACAAGTTCAACAGAAGAGCAGCAGAAGGCTTTCTGCCATGGGATAGAACTGATTCCCTGGTACGTGCTGTCCATCAGGGCTGACGTGCATCAGTTCATGCAGCAAGGGGCAACCGTCATTCATTACGACCAGGACACGCATCTCTCTGCTCGTTGCTTTCTCCAGCTCCAGCCTGACAACAGTACTTTGACTTGGACAAAACCCACAACAGTTTGCCCTGCAAATGCTAAGGCAAAACTGGGTGTGATGGGCAATACTGCTGAGCTTGGTAAATACCAGTTTCTTGGTAATACTGGACTGGTAGAAGGCTTTTTGGACTTGTTTTCAGCCAAGGCTGTATATATGGGACACTCAGGCATTGATATGCACACTGTGTGTGTTCAAAATAAGCTTTGCAATATGTCCCTTGAAGAAAATGGTATAACACTACTTTATGGACTTCAGACTACTGATAATAAGTTGCTGCACTTTGTTGCTCCGAAATACACTGCCAGAATGCTGTATGATGGATTGCTGGAATTGACTAAAGCTGTAAGAAAAATGAGGCGATTCCCTGATCAAAGACTACAGTGGCTACGGAAACAGTATGTCAGCCTTTACCAGGTAAACCATGCTGTGATTCTCTATACAAAAGTTCAAAGGTATCAACAGCTCAGTGTAATGCAATTAGTTTCCATCATAAGTAAGATTAAAGTAAAGATTAACACTAAATCTCCAACTTTGGAACATGGATTAAACAGAAGATCTGATTCTTCACACAAGGTTACGTCAAACTTTGAAAGTTTTCAATACACTGAGGTTATTTTTTTTTTTTTCTTACAAAGCTCTTCATACATCTAGAATTTTAGAATAAGTATTTTATTAAAGGAAAAAGCAATGACTTAAGAAAGTCACCAAAATAATGAGTGGTAATAGTTAGGGCCAAAACCATCCCCAAAGGAGCAAACAAAGTAACCTGGGGAATTCACTCAGTAATCAAAAATTGTCTCCTCTTGATGTTTCTTTCATTGGTTCCTCAGAGATCTATATTATTGCTTTAAAATGTGTCCTTCTTCTCCTTGTTTTGTTAATGCTGAGAATCTTTGTAGGAGGATGGAAGGTTTGAAGGCCCAACCTTGGCTCAGGCTGTTGAGCTCTTTGGAGGCAGACGATGGAGTGCAAGAAGTACAGGCACGGGATCTCTCACCAAAAGCACTGAGAAGCCCAATGTGCAGAGAAACAACACTCTGGGAATCAACACAGCTAAGAAAAAGAAGAAAGTACTGATCAGGGTAGAATATTTTGTTATTTGTGTGTTGTTTCCTTCTTGCAGTCACTGTGTAGCTGTGTTCTGAACCAGAGAAAAGAAGTTAGATAATGATGATTTTAAACCTGTTTATTGTCATTTCAGGTTTGAGGATTATTATTTTCCAATAGTTTGTTCTTTTCTCATGCTTGCAGCATTGTTAGGATGTGTAGGTGCCAGGGCTAGAATGGGACAGAATCTTCTTGCAACCTTTAGGTGCTACCTCAGTAAAAAGATAAAATACAGGTGGTGATAAAAATCTTAACATGCAAAGTGGTGTCTGGAGGCTGGTGTAATTTTTTTTTTAATCCTCTTTCTTTTCATATTTCAAAAAACACTACCACCGTTATTCCACATTGCATTAGCATCCATTTTATCTTGTGTGGGTGATGGAAACATGACCTAGTCTGGCAGTCTCCTCTCTTTTCCTGGACAAAACTGCTTTCAGCAGTAGGCAGGAGAGAGGAAAATGCAGGACTAGCACCTCTATGGTACCCACATTTTCTAGTGAGCAGGTAGAAAGATTCTCTAATGGCAAGATCCATCCTCTTTAGGGCTCCAGTGCAGCAGTGAAATAGTGTAAAACCATCTGCAACATTTTAGAGAGGTACAATCATTGTCATCCTCTGTGTGATGTCAACCTGAGGTAACACCTCATGGTCCCATGCTATGTATCTGTTGTCTCTTTACTATTCTTCTTGGCCTCAGAGGAGTCTGTTTTGTAAGGAATAGCTGATTTATCTCATGGTTTTGTTACAGATTGTACTGAAATGAAATGGAAATGGTGGTTTTGAGATGTTTATTATGATGCTCATTATTTGTAGGGTGAAAGTGGAGAGGCCACTGATGATGAAATGGCAACTCGGAAGGCAAAAAGCTGTAAGGAATATCGTAATAGAAGTGGTTCAGATCCTCAAGATATTGATGAACAAGAAGAACCAGGTAAATATATTGCTTCAGTACATAAAAATCTGTCAAGGTTTTGCTCAAAGCCTTTTTATGCAGACATTTTTTGTAATGTTAAAAATAAACTTATAAAGCTACTTTTGCAGTTGAAACTCCAAATCTGTGAACTCTGAAATTCATTTATTTAGTTGTTCATTATTGTTTCTTCCATTTAGTTTCAGTAGCATTCCCTTTCTATTCAGATAAAATACATTCATAAATGCTGTTCAATACATATTTTTACTTACTATGTTTTAATGAATTTTCATATCGGTCTCCTGGACAAAAACATTTTTATTGTTGATAGATGTTGCAATTGTGATGAAAATCTTTTTTTTTCTCCTTAGATCAAAATATTATTATTAATGCTTCTCCATCTAACAACTTGCCATCGAGAAGAGCTCACTCTCTGACAGCATCTGGATCTCCCAACTTAGGAGCTACATCATCTTCACCAGCGAGACCAGTCTCCTCTCCTGTAATATCATCAAGCAAAAGTCAGTCTAGGTAAGGGCAAAATCTGTGCTTTGATTTAAAAAGAAAAGAAGCTACTATTACTTGTTTATTGGCTAATGTGGGGTTGTTGCCCAACTGGCAAAATCTGACAAAAACAGTGCCAGAAATTATATTAGCCTTTTTGTAGATATCTAAAACACACTGTAGAAGAACACAAGGCATTTAAGCTGAAATGCCATGAATCTGAGGAGAGCTTTTTAGCAAGTCCCTGAGCAGCATGTCTCAGTTTATATCTGTTACAGAAGCCGATTGGAATGCTGTTCCAAAACTACACAAATACAGAGTTTAACTCTTTCTCCAAAACATGGTTATAGGCATTTTCTGTATAGTGAAAATCAACAGAAATGTTATAGATGTGTGAATTGAAGTTCTGAGTTTTCTCAGCACAAATAATTTATACCTGAGGGAGTAATAACCTTTGCTGACATTCCTGGTGATGACTGTAGTACTGTCCTGGGAAAATGAAGGAAACAGTTTGGAATCTTTATCTTACAGGCCTCTTTTTCTTGAACATTCATTCTTTTTGTGCCACTTAGGCAGTGTAAAAGCTTATGCTGTAGCAATATGTGCAGTAACAGTATGCTATTGTATTAATGCTATAGATACTAATGGTGATGGTAGTAGTAATTACATTATTAATAATATATCAGGGATGTGGACAGTACTTTATGACATACAAGAAGATAGTCTCAACAGAGGCTTTCCAGTGCCTCTCTGGAGAAGGAATGATGAAATATCATTATGAGTATGAGTCTTGGGGGTTCCAGGAGAGCAACAGTAAACAATGGAAGAGATTACTGCTGCTGATAGAACATTATATTTGTAGAGACATGTCTTGTGCAATGGTTTTGGTTGTGTATTTCTTGGAGATTATATTTATATTTAAAATAGTTGCATTTGGCAACAGGTGTGAGTAGTAGAGTCACCTGTGAATATGTGTGTTTGGGTTAAAACTGCTTTGAGAGCCTCTGTGTTCCTTTTGTTTTTCACTGTCATTCACAAACTTGGTAAGCAATTTTTTTTTTTTTTGTAAGGGCGAGAATAGCTTTCTTTTACATTGAACTGAAGAAATACTGCTTTACAATCTCTGGAAAATTATTCTGTGTTTTTCAAATCTGCTTTTTGCTTTTATGCCAAACTAGTTGTTGTCTCTAAATTAGATTAAAAAGTTCAGTGGAGAAATCACATTCCCTGCAAAAGGACAGCTAATGTTCCTTTAAATCCTCTCAGGCCTGGGTTTCTGCATGGATGTGTGTGTAGCTAAGCACTGTGGACCTCCCCCACTTATCACACGTTTTCCCTGGCAAAGTTGTCTGGCACCTGTGCAGTATCACTTTGTAGAGCAGTCCCAAGTTTGCTATGACCCTTTGTGACAGAACTTGCTCAGGATGTACCTTATGGCTGTTTCATCATCAAGTCCTGAAGGAGTCTTCTTCAGAACAGATTTACATGTTTTACTCATTATCTTGATCCAGTTTTCATGAGCCATTAAGAAATTTGGAGTACTGGAGAGAATTTTATTCTGAACACAGGTAGCTTGCAGCTGCTTTTGTCATTCCTTCAAAGTAGATGGGCTTCCAATGGATTTCCAAGTTCCTTGGAAATCTAGTGCCACTTGTAAGGTGGAGGAAGCAGGAGGATGATTGGTAAGGCTACTGGGACATGAAGCACAGGATATGGAAAACTAGAGATGGGGGCTTTTTTGGGAAGGGAGAGTAACCCTCCTCACTTAGCAGTCAATCCAGACTGCTACTAATTGCAATTTTGGTTGTTGGTGACAGTCGAGTTTTCTTGGGGGTTTTGGCCTTTTTTTTTTTTAAACCTTTTGCTTTTGTTGAATTTCCCATTACTCTGGAAGATAATCTTTAGTGATCAGATTGGGTGAAATGGTTATCATTTTCTTCTGCTCTTGCTCTCCCATTTAGTACTCTGCAGTTCCAATCTGTTTTCTGGAATCTAGAGGCTTTCCTCATCATGGTTTATTTTTCCTGTCTTATAAAAATGCTGGGAATTATTTTAGCTAAAAAAGTTTTATGCAGTATGTCAGTACTTTCCATAGTGATATCAAACAAATTGAATATTATCAACTAAAGTAGATGGTATTTTTTAATGCTTTTAAATCACATTTTGTTTTCAGTTGCATGCATCCATCCCATGCCAGGAGTAAATTCAGGAATCTGGTCCAGTCTTTTTGTGCAGAAAGTCACCTGCTTGCAGGCATGTCCTTAGGAATGCTGGACAACAAGCTGGTCCTGTTTTTCCTTCAGAGCTGTCTGAACTATTTGTACTGAGCCTGATGGCAAAATTCGTAGAAGAATGGATCTGTATATTTGAACATTACAGAGCAATAAAATCAGACATGTGGTCTGATATTTTGAAGGAAATGCTGTAACTTGTGCAGTTAATTGTGGTTCAAACTAGATACTTCTTGATATTTGTGTTGTTGCTTGGATCCTGCCCTTTCAGGATGCTGTTGTGGCAGATCCTGTTCCTGTTGTGTGTGTTCATTGGTGCTTAGGCCTAGGAAGGGGCTCAAAAGCTCAGCCCCTCATTGCAAGTTACTCCATGTAGTTCACTAAGGACTTGTTCATACTGCTCAAGTAAGGCTTAACTGTACTTACTAGAGTGAAGCCTAAAGGTTTTGGGATGTGACTTTTGGAAATGTGCTGGTTCTACTTCAAAAATGTTCAGCTGCACAACTTAGATCAATTATTGCAGTTACAGAGCAATCTATTTTATTATTTAGTCTTCAATAAATCCTATATACAGCCTGCATTACGAGAATACTGGCATTGTTTTTGTTAAAGGGAAAATAAGTGCTTTCATTGTGCCATGTGCATCAGGCCTTTTTCCATATGAAAGTTTTCAATTGCATAATCTATATTATTCATTCTGATAAAGTTTGCAGTTGTCTTGAAGGGAAAAAAAATAGCTGCTATAAAGCAAGACGATAAAAAACATCATTATGCATCTTATAAGATGGTGCTTTATTTGCTTCTTCCAGATATTGGTAATAAATTATTAAGGAGAGCACAAAAAAACTGTTACTTCACTAATGCATGATACTTCAGTTAAGTAGAAGTTTAATGTAGCCAAACTATAGCAGTCTTTTTTTGATTTAGCACATGGAGCAGCAGTAGCTGGCATGGCCGTGTCAAAGGAGGAATGAAGGGATTTCAGAACTTTATGGTGTCTGATAGTAACATGACTTTTGTGGAATTTGTAGAGCTCTTCAAATCTTTCAGGTAAATGATTTTTTTTTCATACTAATTTCATTCATCCAAGTTTATAAAAGAGCAAAAACTGAACTTTTCTGCTCTTTTTGCAGTGTCCGTAGCCGCAAGGATCTGAAAGACCTTTTTGATGTTTATGCTGTGCCTTGCAATCGATCTGGCTTAGAACCTGCTCCACTTTATACTAATTTGAAGATTGATGAAAATAGCAGTGGATTCCAGCCTGATTTAGGTTTGTTAAAGAGAAAAATGCAATTGTTAGACTGCTGAGCAGCTTCAGTTATTTGCCTTAATAAAATGTGTCTCGGTCAGTCTCCTTATCAGTTACAAGTTTTAAGTAGAGGACTGCTGCCATGCCTGCACTAATACCTGGTTAGCAGGATATAAGACAAAAATGAAGGGAAGAAAAAGTATTCCAGCTTTCCATTAGCCAGATATATTTGTAACTGGTATTAGCAGAGGAATAAAATTTGTTGTTCAATGGCAGAGTGCAGGGATCTGTACAGGTTGCAGGAGCCCTGGAAGGGCACAACAGTGAGCAAATATAGGGAGTAGAAAGGAGGAGGCTGTGCCCTGTGTCCCATTTGCGCTGGTTTTTTTTATCTGCTTTCCTAGTGAATCTGCTTTATGTGGGATAAAGGGGAAGGAAGCCTCTATCCCCCTTTACATTCCTCAGTTACCATAATCTAAGTCTGGAACCTTGGCCACATGTAAAGAAAACAGTCTCTCTGCCAAGCAGCTTGTGGGGAGGGTGCAGAACAATTGGCATATGAAACTGGAAAAAGATAAAGGGTGATTGAACAGGAAGGGTGTGGGGTTGCACATAGTGAAGGAAAAGCTTTGAGGCTGTTTGTGGTGGTGAGAGGGAGCAGGAGAGTCCTGGGTGTGTAGGAGGCTGTGGATCCATGTTAATGGTTCCAGGATTTTGTTCAGAGTAGTTGGACGCTTGTAGTCTGCTCACATGCATGCTTAATGCTTTCTCTTTTATTAGTGGGTAGAAACAAGATGATTTTGTTCTAATTTATTGCTAAAACACCCAGTGAGATACTTGTGTGTATTGCATACTAGATTATATTCTATACAGGATATGTAATACACATAATTGTTTAGCTTATATTTTTATTTCCTCATTTTTCTTTTAAGATTTGTTGACTAGAAATGTTTCAGACCTTGGTTTGTTCATTAAGAGCAGGCAGCAGCTATCAGACAACCAGAGGCAAATATCTGATGCTATTGCTGCTGCCAGCATCGTAACCAATGGTACTGGAGTTGAAAGCACATCGCTGGGAGTATTTGCAGTAGGAATTCAGCAGCTGAACGACTTCCTAGTGAATTGCCAAGGAGAACACTGCACCTATGATGAAATCCTCAGTATTATCCAGGTCTGTAATACAAATACCTTGCATTGCCCTTTTACTAGAGCTGTTACTTCCATTTTCCCATTAATGTTGTGTGTTCAGAATAGAACCTGTGTGGGAATCTCCTTTCACACTGATATTGTCTTTACAGTTTATTTGAATTTAAAATTTAATATTATCTTTATTTTGGGCCAGAAAAATTGTATGAATGTCTATAAATATATCAATTAAAAATGCAAATAAATAGTTTTATTAGCAATGAGTACTTTAGCAGGGAAGGGATGTCACCACCTAGGAAAAGTGTTCATGACAATTCTTTTCTTTTTTCTTTGTCAGGGACCACATTTGATTGAGCATAATCTTACTTTGGAACTTTAACATGGCCATTTTATTCCCTTATGTCCCATGGCTGAAGATTTTAGAAAGTGTGTAGAAAAATTTTTATTCCTCCAAATTCCTCCATGCATAATTAATATACTCCAAAACTAAGCTACCATTTAACACTTATCAAAGGCAAAAAACTATATATAACTATCAACATGTAAGACAGAATTGCAGAGTTTAAAGACAGAAATTCTAAGGAAACTTCAAGCTGGAATACCACAACTCTTGTTGAGATGGTGTTAGGTTGTATTTAAGCATACTAGATAGGAGTAGGACACCTGATCATAAATCTTTCTTAATTTCAATTTAATTGCTCTCTCAGCTTTGAACAGGAGGTTGGATTAGGCAATCTCCAACATCCCTTTCAACCTGAATGGTTTTTTGATTTATGATTAGGATTTTACTATGTTTGTGTAGTGATTTTTAAGACACAGTTTGCAGGCACCTGATTACTTTATCCACAAAAAGACTGTGTTTAAATACTAACTGTTTAGTGCTATGAGCAGACTACATATGACAAGACATGTTTCTAAGAATTGTTATTTTATATATATCTTTGATTTCTTCCTTCTCAGAAATTTGAACCTAGTGTGAACATGTGCCAGCAGGGGCTGCTGTCTTTTGAAGGATTTGCAAGGTAATTACTTATGTGCTCTTTTTTTTATATATGTATGTGTGTGTATATATATAGATATGTATGATATGTATCTATGTATGTATATATATATGTAAAAAGATCGTATCAGTGTATTGATGTTTCTTGGAGAGTCACAAAATGCTCATCACAGCATAAAATTTCCTCACATCTCACTTCTAGATTTTTGATGGATAAAGACAACTTTGCCTCCAAAAATGATGAATCACAGGAGAATGCTGAGGACTTGCAGTTTCCTCTCTCATATTACTACATAGAATCCTCACACAATACTTACCTTACTGGCCATCAGCTTAAAGGGGAGTCCTCAGTGGAGCTCTACAGCCAGGTATGCAGGACTGGATTGTTGTCTAGCTTTCAACATGAACTTGTTTGTTTTACTGGCAAGTTTCAGGAACATGACCTTTTTGCTTTGAAAATCTAAATGTCCTAAACCCCTGCTTGCAAAACGTTGGAAAACATGATGTGTGGGAAAGCTGCCTGTAAGCACAGTTGTGCTCAAATGCCTTTTCTAAAGCAAAAAAATGGGTTTAGTTTGAGATTCATAGCATTTAGACACCAGTCGGTCTGACCCAACCTACTAAAATTAGACTTTCCCACAGGAAAGACTGATCTAATATTTTAGTTCATTCAGATGTCAGAAACACTACTGAGATACTGTACATTGCACTGCAAAGACAAATTTCAAATAGAACTCTAACTTCTAAAAATGTTACTTCTAGGAATATTATTCAGTTTTTAGACTTTATGCCTGATTGGTGCTGATGAGGGAAGGAACAATTTCTCCCTTGGACTTTCAGTTCTGTATATATATATATTTGTATATTTGTGTGTTTACAAAGTGCTGGAGAAAGCATCAAACTGTCATTAGTGTTTTCATTATGCTGAGAGTTAATGACTCAACACTGAGAATAGACTCATCTGGTGTCCCACTGCTCCTTCACCTGGGGCTGTAGACAGAGAAGTGAGGCTGTGTTAGGAAATCCTGAATAACATGAATGCACTGAGTAATGTAATTGCAGAGGTTCCTATAGTAGCACTGCCTTCAAGTTTGCATGATTAAGAAAAGTTTCTTCCTCTCCCTCAAGAGAGGAAGCTTGTTGCCAGCTGAAGGGGCACTTTGTTTTGGCTCAGTGTGCCTGGCTCTCACAGAAGTGGTGGAGTACCAGCTATGGACACAACTGTCTGAAATCACATTTTTCAGGTTTTGAGTAGAAGTAATTTTTTCTCTGTTCATGAATGGTTTGGCTGGAAATGGTTTTAATTTTTGGGATCTTTCTAAAATATTAATTTATAGTACAGGTGGCAGGCATGATAAATACTGATCATAATAATAAGCTGGGCTACCAAAAGATGGGTTAGCTCGTCTCTTCTTTCATCTTTCCTCTTTGCTTCCTTCATTCGTTTTTCTAGCAATGGCTTTCTAAAATAAATAAATGAATAATTTTTAAATGGATTAATGAATTGATGGCTGTAAATAGCTTAGTATAATTGATTAAGATGGCCTGGCACATTTCCATTTTAACTATCCTCATAGAAGTTTCTTAGGACTTCATTTTCAGACTACCATTTATTTATAAAACTAATAATAACAAAAAAACCCCAGTGAACAAACTGCAGGTGTTTTCTCCATAAGCTGTCATAGGAACAACCTGAAATAAATTGCCATGTCTTTTTATAGCTGTTTCTGCAGGGAGAAATATGGGAATGTGTCTCTCTCTCAGAAAATTAAGCTGTAAAATAAGAACCACCTTCTGCAAACAGATTCCATGTATCCTGTATGATACCATGAATTTCAAAGCTTAATTGTAATTCTCTCAAGAACATTCATGCTTTGCTTAATTTCCCAGTCTTTTTCAATGGGAAATAAGGAATTCAGTTAGGGAATGCAGTTAGCTGGGGACTGTACATTCCATGGGCTGTTCACTTCATAGAGATTGCTCTTTCTAGCAATTTTGCTGATTCACTAGACTTTCATTCAGTTCTGCAATGTCTGTCTTCTGCTTTGATGGCATGATACTGTGGCTTAAATATGCTTACACTGTTCAATTGCATTATAGGTTCTTTTACAAGGCTGCAGAAGTGTAGAATTGGATTGCTGGGATGGTGATGATGGGATGCCCATCATTTATCATGGGCACACTCTTACTACGAAGATCTCTTTTAAGGTATGCTGGTAATTGCATGTAGAAACAAAAAAAAAGAGAAGTTATCTTTTCTGTAAGGAAGGGGGGAAAAATCGCCTATTAGAAAAATACAAATTCTAATGGGCTAAATTCTAATAGACTATAAGCTATAGATTATGCCAGGCATTAAATTCTCAGCAGTAAGTTTTTGTAGCATATGTAGTGTAATTTTATGTCTTTGTTGGTACCTAAGTAACAAAAGTAGTGTTACCACTTGTGTTGTAACAAGATGCCAGCTTGCTTTGAAAGCACAGAGTGGCTTCCTTCTTTCAGAAGGAAGCAGGTGTCTCTCCTCCAGCTAGCAGCAGGTTAGCTGAGCTGCAGAATGCTGCCATGCCCTTGCAATGGCCTCTCTCTCTGGCAGGAGGTGGTGGAAGCCATCGAGCGCAACGCGTTCATCACCTCCGACATGCCGGTCATCATCTCCATAGAGAACCACTGCTCGCTGCCCCAGCAGCGCAAGATGGCCGAGATTTTCAAGGTAGGCTGCCCACTGCCATCAGGTATTCCAAGAACATGCCCTGGGATTTTCCATAGTACATCACCTCTTCTTGATATTTCAGAATGTGTTTGGAGATAAGCTGGTGACAAAGTTTTTATTTGAGAGTGACTTTTCTGATGATCCCATGCTGCCTTCCCCTGGCCAATTGAGAAGAAAAATCCTGCTTAAAAACAAGAAGCTGAAAGCTCATCAAACGCCAGTGGATATATTGAAACAAAAGGTATAGTCCTTCCTTAACAGCAAGCAGCGAGACCCAACTCTTGTTAGAAGTAGTTCATTTGTGTTTGAAATTTTTGCTAATTCCAATGTACAGCAGAATAATCTAATGCACATTCATGCTTGGATAACTCACAGTGGATTTCAGTGTTTTCAAATAAGTAGACAACACATACAGTAAATTATACCTACAGCTTAACTTAATTTTAGTGTATATTATTTTTGTAAAACTTCATAATATTATGATTAACACCATATGCCCTGTGTGAGAAACATAAATTAATCTGTTTCTCTGAGGTTTTAATATTTGCTACTCATGTTTATTGAGAAGTAGTGATATGCATTGAGTATGTGTGTGTATTTGCACCATGTAGTAATTTTTGGTAGAGTTCTGCTTTGTTTCTTTTTCCAAATTCAAGCCAGTCAAATACTTGATTTTTTATTGACTTCTTGTGGGAGACTCTACTCAAATAGTTTTTATTTCCATGTGAGAGTTTTTTTGATTTCTAAAATTTAGGGCTGCATCTCAAGTAACCTCACTCTGATAATGCCTATGGTTAGTCAGCAGTTCAATTGAACCCTTGAAAACTAATCGCCATTACCCAAAATGTAAACACAATTGCATTAGACTTAAATTCTTGTTATCACATGAGTAAATCAACTGATCAGTATATGGATATTCTCCATCTTTTGAAAAAGTAACTGTTTCTGAAACAGCATATCTGAGACTGGAAAAAAACAGTATTGAATGATGTGCAACTTGGGCATTTTCCCATAATTAATTAGGTTTCATATCTTATTGTTTTTCTTGCAATACAAGTTCTCTTTATGTTCAAACCCCTAGAATGGTATGTTAGATTCATCTTAGCAACCTACTTATTTCTCACTTAATATATTCAGTGTTTTCATATAAACAAAACAAGATACAAACAGTGATGAAAACTTTTTTTCTTTAAAAGTACTTAGCAATGATGTGATAAGTGTTTCTGTTGTTGTAGGCTCATCAGCTGGCACATTTGCAAGCACAGGCTAGCAATGGTGCTAGCAACCCCACACCTACCAATGAAGAGGAAGAAGATGAGGAGGATGAATATGACTATGACTATGAATCTCTCTCTGATGGTAACTATATTTATTTCTTTGTTTGTTACAGTGCTCTTGTTAGAACTGTAGTAATAAGACGTGAATATTCTAGTTCAGGAATGAGCAGTTCAGGGTAAGCAGTGTCCTTGTACGAGTCTGAAAAGGCTGAAATTTTTCAGCTGGCAGAGAAGAGGACTCGGGTGAGTTGGAAGCAGGTTTACTAAGTCATGAAGTGGTGGATTAAGGGAAGCACAGAATGTTACTTGTTAGATCTAGCAGGTGCTCAGTAAAACAAGTGGAAGATCAGTCTAAAACAGGTAAAATATTTGTGCAGCTGGTAGCAAACTTCTGGAATGTGCATCCATGGGAAATTGCAGGGCCAAATGGCATCAGAATATTAAAAAAAAAGGATTGGACAAATTAATGAAGAGCTTTATAAGCAGTTGTTATTGGTAGCAGTATTTGGTCCAACATCCCTATTATTCGATTGTGGTTGTTGAGGTGGCGATGGGTGGCTGGTTGTTCTGTTGCCACTATCAGAAAGAGAATATTGGGCCAGATGGACAACTGGTCTGACACAGCTGGGGATGTTCTCCTGGGTGAACAGTGGAGTACTTCACTCACTGCACTTTTCATTCTGGTGGGGACCCATTTAAGTTCTAGGTGCCATGTTCAGAGAGGTGTAAGGCTTGAGCATGTCCTGCAGTGCAGGACTTCTTTCCAGGTGGTCTCTTGCTTATATTACTTGATTCTGTGTTTAGTGATTTTAAAAAGAGTCACAAAATTAACAAATGGAGTTCAAGACTTGACAGTGGTTGTGGAATAGTAGTTTTATTTATGAGTTTGATGTCAATGCAGCCTTCAGTAGCATTTTGCCTGAAAGTTGTCCTAGCTGTCTACTTGAGCATACTCTTTGTGAGGAACAGGGTGGAGATGATGTAGATGTAAATTGCTATGAAACCTCAAATCTTTGCTAACAGACTTGCCAAGAAAATTTTGCAAACTGATTGTAGTAAGTGACTTTTTGGCACTGTTCTAGTTAAGAGAAAGTTTGAAAAATATGAAGCTAGCGAGAAACATTTACACCTTCTAGTATATGAAGGAATCTTCAGCATGGTTTACTACTGTATTACAATGATTAGTCTTTGAAGTCTTTAATTATCTTAATATTTTGCTAAATCTAATCTAAATGATGATCTGTAAACTTTATAAAAGAGATTCAGTTTTATTTTTCTTACCGATACATTTTTTTGCATAAGGCTAATCATTTTAGAACTGACACTTACTTTTCATTTCTCTGGCTCTAAATCTTAATTCCCTTTACTCTTATTCCCTGTCTGACTCGTATCCCTGTAGCTGATGTCCTTAATGCTTCTCCTGCTCCTAACAGCCAGGAAGGTAAAAGCCACTTGGTTGAGCATTTTAACTGCATGAAATCAGCACTGCATCTTTAGCCTGTTCAATGTGACAGTGTGAATATATAGTTTCTAGTTCATATTATAAATGCAAGCAGTGATTCTTACATGGCATTGTTAACTGGTCAGGAACTGTTAGAAGTCTGCATGTGTGACACGTGTTATGCATAAAAAGAATATGGTCAAAGCATCAGGAATATCAGGAATAAATTGAAACCATTCCTTTTGTGACAGCTGTGACATTTTGGTCCAGAAAGACCAAATCATTATTAGGCATACTGTTCTCTGAAAAAGATATAGCTTTGAAGAGGAGTTTCTGTACATGTAAAAAATATTTGTGCATGGTGAAAGTAAAGAGAGGAAAGCCAAAACTTGCTGTACAAAATGTGCACAGCATTTGTTTGATGGGGTTAATTGTGCTTGGACTTTGGCATTTTTTTGTCATTCGGGAATATCAATTGTTTTCAATGGTAAACTTAATTCATTAGATGGTTTGGTTTTAATGATCTTCTGAGCACAAAAGGATGGGCTTTAAAGGAAAGGCAATGTCTTACCCAAACCCAAGCATTAAATTTTTAAATAGAAGATTAATACTAGAGGATGATGCTCTGACCGGTAAATGCATTATTTTAGCATCTAATTATTCATATAAGATTCACAACACTGTCCACAAATATTGTTAATTCAAATTAAATTTCCAGTTGAAATTGTTTGGCTTTATGTTTATTAAAATCCTATTGATTTTTAGATAATATTCTTGAAGATCGACCAGAGAATAAATTATCAAGTGATAAACTGCAGTTTGAATATAATGAAGAGAATGCCAAACGACTAAAGAAGGCTGATACTTACAATAATAAAGGAAAGGTAGTTCTGCTTTTTCCCTCTTTCTTCTCAGCTGCTCTTTTATATATAACCAGGTTCAAAAGGATTTGGACAGTTTCGGTAACTGAGACATTAGATAGCAAATGCACTTTAATGAAGAGGAACCAGAGAAAGCATGGAAAAGACACCAGAGAAAATAGCCTAAGTAGAACAAATGCTCAACATACTGTTCAAGAGAAGTCCTCAGAGGTTATAGTATATATAGGCTGCTTGGCTGAAAATTAATATTGATGAAACGGATGATTTAGTCTGAATCTTCAGCATCTTTATGCTTCAAAATAAGTTTAAAATACTGCACTATCAGATAATCACAGCACCTCTTATTAAATCATCTGAAAAAATAACCAGTATATTACTGGTTAGTGTATTAAAAGAACCAGTGTATTACTGGTTAGTGTATTGTATATTCTTCACAACATGGATGTGTTTTGTCTAAATGTTTGTAGAACTGACTCTGAGTAAGGCCTTTACACAGTACTGCAGAATGAGTAACAAGTATTGATCAGAAATGTACACATGGGAGGGAGATTTGTTAGGTGAGAACAGAAAGCATATAAGATGAAAGAGATAAAATATTTTAAAGACATAAGTAAGATGTGCAAGAGTTCTTCTACATTCAGTAATATTATTAAATGTTCTTGGTGTTGTCACTCAGGTTTATGACATGGAGCTGGGTGAAGAATTCTATCTTCCACAAAATAAGAAGGAAAGCAGACAAATAGCCCCAGAGCTATCAGATCTTGTCATTTACTGTCAAGCTGTAAAGTTCCCGGGTAAGTACACTGCCCTGTTTTATTGCTTTAAGCTTTCTAATTCCTGGAGACATTATGTTTATGTTTTGAATTAGTTTGAAGTACTGGAGGAGGTTCGTTCTTCATGATTTGGTAGTCTTCATAATAGCAGCTCCTGGCTGAGAAGTAGCGTTCATAAATTATGTGAATGCATACTGTTTGTCATATTAAAATGTTTACAAAAGTGAAATTTGCCAGTCTTCACAACTTAGACAACTGTTTCACTGCCAAATGCCAGATGACAGAAAGCTTAATCTTAAGAGCTCTGAGTTTCCATGTAAGGTCCTACTGAATTAAGAAGGATAATATTCTTAAGGCCTTGAAGGTAGAGTGTGTCACATTTTTTAAGTGACCTCTGTTTACTGTGTTTCACCTTTGCCTACAGCTGCATTTTCTGTTCTTTGGAGTGGACAGGAGAGGAGGCATTTGTAGGGGTAAAGCACCTTTTCATAGGATGGGTGAGGGCTGCTGCTTGCACACTCTCACTCAATCTTCATGGAAGCAGTTATGGAAGTGAGAAAATCTTCTCTACAGTAGGAAGAATAACTTTTGCAGAGTAAAGGAGAGGGAGTAACTGAAGAGATCACTGATAGGCACTTGTTCAGTACTGAAATATGAGGTTGAGTATATTTTGGTTCATACTATGTACATAAATACTTTTAAATTGAGAATTTATTGTTTATTGATATATTTAATGTTTTGAATGAAAAATCTGCTCTTTACTGGAATAGTTCTCTGTGGAAAAGTTAGCAATTCTGCCAAATCATGATCTTACACAAACAGAACTATAATCAGATTAGAGAAGCTAACCAAACATAAAGTAGTGTCAAATAAGCAAGATAAGCAGGCTGAAAAATGGACAGACATTCTTTTATAATCTTTTATAACTTTAAAAATTGTAGGTGTCACTTGTTAAAATAATGACTTCTAAAAATCCAAATCTGATACTCTTTTTAATAAAATCTGCAATGAGATTATCTTTCAAGTAAAATATTTTCTTTTAAAGAAAGATATTCAAGATTAAATGGGGATACTTTGGTTTGTTCCAAGCATTTTGACACATAAAAAATTCTGATATTCTAAGAAAACTTTGAAATATTTAATTTTTAATGTAATAGTGGTTATTAAAGAAATACCTGCAGATATCTTCCTCTTGCTTTAAAGGGATCATAAATGGAATAATTAACAAGATTACCTCCTTTCACAGATGAACACATAAAGCTGTAGAAATTACTTTTCCAACAAACTTTGTCTCCTTTGAGACAAATACTGGCTCCTCTGAGACAGTTCCATAGCCACTGTGCCACTGATTGGATTGCTTTGCTCAGTCAGAGGGCACAGATGTGGTGCAGTGCCCTACCCAGCATTAATGATGGGAATAAGGCTGCTAGATCATGACTCTCCAGCTCTAGTGCCTGTGTTCCTAACCAACTCAGAAAATGCAGGAGTTTTGGAAAGGGGGAGGGCAGGATTCATGTCAGTGTCTGATCAATGATGTAAATACTTTATTTCTTCTGTCTTCCTATAATTTTTCTGTGTTTACATTTGACTACATCCCTGAATGTTAATCACTGATTTGTGACTATAAAAAAGGACAAGGACCATAATGTTTACTTACTGTAACCTACTGAGTAACACAGATTTCCCTAAGTGTTCCCTGGTCAAAACAGAATTTATCATGTGGAGAAAATAACATTTTTTGTTTATAAAACCTCTGGTAACAAGGAACCCACCATGGTCCTTGTTGTTTCTGTACTCTTTGACCTTACAGTCCTTGCTTAACTTGAATTCCAGTGTGTTGGGTATCATTGCACCATTATCTGAGAGGCTGGAGGTCTGTTCTCTGTGGTCACCCAAGCTGAGGGCAGTGGATCACCCCTGAGCACTGCTGCTGGCACATGGCTGGGCACCTTGGTGCTGAGATCCTTACACAATGAGTAGAGAAACTGAGTATATAAGAGCAGGATTTGCACAATCATATGGAGGGAGCAGGGAGTCACCAGCACCCACCAGCATGAAATTCGGTCACTATCTCCATCATACCAGATTGTCTGCCCTTGTAGTATCGCTTCTCAAGAAGTTAAAGTGAACGTAAAAAGGGGTACCCTACATATAAAAATGCTGTAAATTCCCTTTTAAGGTCTGCATACCTGCAGATTTTCTGTTGGTCTGAAGCACATGGTGAGAAGGTGACAATTACAATTTAACCTGTTACGTTAGCATGGTGAGAGGAAGAGCAGGGAAGTTTGTAATCCTCTAGATTAAGTCCAGAAGTAGTAAAGAAGCACTGTGCTTATATCTAACACATGAAATGGGCACTAAATTCCATAACTTGAAGAACATGGCAAGGAGTTGTAGGGAAACACAAAACATTTACTCTGACCCTCTGGTAGTACAATATGATTTATGTACAGTATGGTGGGATCTGAGCTGGTCCTATTTTGACCAGAGAGTTGGACCAGATTACTTCCATATCTTTGTCAATCTCTATTATTTTGTGATTTGATGATTCTATGAATTGGTAGAGCTATATTTTGAAGTCAGGTTTAAATTGGAGTGCAAAATGGAGCTTGTCTGTGGGGAGAGATGTGTAACATGCAAAGTGTGACAGACCGAGAGGAAGCTGCCAGCTGCAGGGTACCCTGTGGCCATCACATGGGGCTGTCAGCCCCAGGGCTCTGCACTCAGTCTGCTCATGTAGGAGGTCAGTTTGTTTCCTCAGTGACTGTCTCCACAACAGGATTTTGAAACTTGCCAAATCCATCTGATCCATTCAAAACTGGGTTTAAATAGTGCTGGAAGCACACAGTGCATAACTCCTCGTTCTTCTAGTCAGTTCATATTCCTTGATCCCAATTTCTACCATCTTCTGTGGTTTATGTGTATGCTTTGGCTAAAAGAGACAATACATCTCCAACGTGGAAAACATTTATATACGTTCTGAATACTACTGACCCAAGCAGTTCCATTGAAATTGTGTGCATAATTTTATTAAGTACATGTACACATGCCATAAAGATGGAGAGCTGAAAATTTGCAGCTGTGGGCAGTCTTCAATCAGAAGAGGCCAATGTATCCTCTTTGTGATTTACATTTGTATTTGAAATATTAGTATTAAATCTAGAACTGTCTTTAGGCAGGTGTGAATTGATGTGAATTAGTGTGGGACGTTTTAGGAGTCACCATTAGGCATGTAAGAGTGGGTTTACTTTGTTACATTCTATATCACAAATACATCTTGGGCTTCTAGGAGCATCCCACATCTCATTGCTGTGGGTGTCAGAATAATTATTGTGCACTTTAATTTTTATCTGCTCTGTGGTCTCTCCAAGCCAACAGAAAGAAATTGACCTTAAGTAGGATTTAGTCTGTTTACTTCACCAAGATTCAGGTCATGACTTTTAATGATTATGTTTCTAGAATGCACAAGTTTGAATAATAGCTATACTAGAGCTTTCCAGCTCTACTCCTAGTACATATTGACCATTGAATATGTAATGGATTTTGCACACCTAACTGTATTTACCAACACTGAAGTTCAAATAAACAGAAGAAGATGACTCTGAAAACATTTTGAAGTTAAACTGTTTAACCAACAGCATTTGGACATATAATGTGATATTACATTACATTACATTATATCTTAAAATCATATTCTTGCATTTATTTAATTATGTAGGTATCGTAACCTAGATGAATTCCATTATATTCACTACTGTGCAGATTTATTGCTTCTGTAGAACATATTTCTATTTTTTAAAATTATTTCTAGGATGAATATTTCGGGACTGTTGCTGCAGATTTTTTTTGTATCACTTTGGACCCTTTATTAATTGGAGAGAAAGCCTTTACCTTCTTCAAGCCAAAAAGTAAAATGGAGAAAAGTTATATCACAGAGAGAGAATTGTATATTGTATTGTTTCATATGGGTTTCTATATACATTATATAAATGCATACATATATGCATTATATATAAACCCATACATAATATATACATATATAAAAGAGTGTATATATTTAAAGATGCTGAAATTAAATTGTGGAGAAAAATACACTGCTTGTCCTGTGTGCTATATAACAGGAGTATTCATGCCTTCAAAAATAATGTAAAATATGGTGGAAAATGTCTTGCCCTCTTGGTCATGTTTTTTGGCTCATTTATTTTACATTTATGGGAACAGGCTTGTCAACTCTAAACCCATCTGGCTCTAGCAGAGGAAAAGAAAGAAAAAGCAGGAAGTCCATTTTTGGCAACAATCCTGGCAGGCTGAGCCCTGGGGAGTCAGCTGCTCTTGCCAAAGCATCTGGAAAAGGTAAAGTTAACATCTTCTTCCACCAGTCACGTGGAATGACTCTGTAGTCCAACACATGTACCAGACCAAGTTGTTAAAGATCAAATACTTTGCAATGTGTAAAATGTTCCCAGCAGCTATTACAGTACCACTATTACAACTGAAGTGGTGAGTGTGGAATATCAGGATACTTGATGAGAAATATGATGATCCTAATTCATAAACAATTCAAAACTAATGTACATTTTAAGTATCTTAAAGTTTATATTTTTGAAGATATAAGTGAGTATTTTCAAAGTACAAATGAAAACCAGAACTGTTGGGCTGGTGCAGAAAAGAGTTTTTATTGTCTGAACTTAGAATTTAGCAGCCTAAAATTCAGCCAAGTCCAAATGTGTAATTATGCAAATTAGACCGTGCAGGTGATTCAGTTTGTGAACCTGGAAATTGTGCCTCTGCCTATGCACAGATGTAAAGAAATAAAAAGAAAGTACAGGAAAGGTTCTGGAGCAGGAGTAAGACCCAGATCCCCTGCCTTTCAAGTGATTGCCATAAAGAGATATTCTGAACTCATTTTCTGGCTCAGGGAGGGTTGTATTTCTTGCACCCCAAGGGCATGACTGCAGCAGACAGAAGAGATTTCCTTCTAGAGGCCAGTGTCCTAAAAGTGAAGAAGTGTGGTGCCTAATTCTAAAGCATATAAGTATTTTTCTGCCTTTTTCCCCTAACTTTGCAGTCTCTGTAGATGTCTACTTGGAAAATTGGCAGATGGCTTTCAGTCTTGCCTCTCTTCCTCATGTAAAATGTATAAATGAGAAGAAGGGAATTTTATTCCTTGATTTATTCAGGCAAATGCCAATGAGGTATATATTTATGAAAGTGCTTGTTAGCACATCTAATCGTGGTATTATTTCAGTACTTGGACATTGTGTTTCCTCTCAGGGATTGTTCTTACTGTGTGAGAACCACTGTGACACTTGCCCCGAGTAGTGTGATTTTCCAGGATCACCTTTTTTTACCATAACCAAAGCACACACACATACTCCACTGGAAAACATTGCACTTTTGGAGCCTCTGGACCTGCAGCTGTACCTTGAGGGCACCGTTTCTTTTCCAGGTCCTTTCGATGCGATGCGGCAGACCTGGGAAGATCCTTGCTCTCCTTACAACTCTCCAGCCTCCCTCAGTGCCATCATAAGGACTCCCAAGTGCTATCACATCTCGTCCCTGAACGAGAACGCTGCCAAGCGGCTCTGCAGGCGCTACTCCCAGAAGCTGATCCAGCACACCACCTGCCAGCTCCTGAGGACCTACCCCGCTGCCACGCGCATCGACTCCTCCAACCCCCACCCCCTCATCTTCTGGCTCCACGGTGTGCAGCTCGTGGCTCTGAACTACCAAACAGACGGTAAGGCTGCCCAAACCCAGCTTTTAATATGTTAGAAATGTGATAGGAGGTCTAAAGTCATGAATTTGTATTTTCCCTGTTTACTTTTTCCTGCTCTCCCGAGGGGACCTTCCTGTATCTGCACCCCAGCCACAAGCAGCTTCATAGCACAACAGTCTGGTCCTTGAGGGCAGTGACCTCAGAGTCCAGGAGCTTTATGCCAATGCAGCAGGTTCCCTGATAACCCAGAAGTGCCTGGACAGCAACACTAACATTTTTATATTTATTTTATTGCTGAAGGTTGTTTTTTTTCTCCCAGTTCAATTAACTGTTATACCTTTCTGATAATTTTAAGCATAAAAAGGTACTGAAGTATTTTTCACTTGGAAGTGCTGCCTTGGATGCTGGTTTAATGTTGATAATTTTTTGAATATTTGCTATGCTATCTTGTGTTCCTTCACATTTTCCATGGGGGATCCATTAGGACATTTACAGCGCTCTTTCATTATGCAGCTCAGGGCACATTCCTAGAGACTTCCCATAGAACTGTTGTAGGCAAGCCCTACAGTTCAATAAAGACAATGGAAAGGAAAAGAATGAACTGTTCTTAGAGTTTTGTGTAATTACTAGATAGATTGGACACATAAATCACAGACAGTTCTGAAAACCAGGAATAGTACATAACTAAAATAATTTTTAAAAATATACTTCAAACATGACTTTGTCTTCACTTTTACAGTTTTTCATTGTACCATTGCTCTCTGTCAGTTTTGGCTGCCTTAATTTCACAGATCTTCCTCTGCAACTCAATGCAGCAATGTTTGAGGCTAACGGTGGCTGTGGATATGTTCTGAAACCTCCAGTTCTGTGGGATAAAAACTGTTCAATGTACCAGCATTTTTGTCCATTGGAAAGAGACCTTGATAATAAGGAGCCAGCTATATATTCTTTAACAGTAAGTACATGAAAAGGGAATTTTCATGCAGGCAAACAGAAGTAGACAATATGCAACTACAGTCTTTAATCAGCATTACGGTCACACTTCTAAATGAAAAGATTGAATTTTTAAATGTTGCTTCCAAAGGTCAGCCTAACTAACAGAAATTGGAGAGGAAAGGAACAACGATTTGTCTTTATTTTATTGTATTGGCTGATTTGTATCCGTAGTTACTTCCCCTGTTTCTTTCACAGTATTTGTTGAAACTCAGTCCTGAAAGCATTTTCCCTGGCACTACACAACTGTGTAAAATTACATATGTGCCTTGATGTTCTACACATTTGTGAACACTTGAAAAGCTGCACAAAAAGCCATTATGAAAAGCTGTACTGAATCTTGAAAAAATAATTTTTTGTAACTTACATAACAAGATATATAATTCATGGATTTGTGGCCAAAAAAATGTACTCTCAGAAACTAGTCCTTTCCAGGAAATGTGTCAGAAAAGTGAAATTTATAAAAATCAGAATTTTCCCAGCTGTGGTAATTGCACACTTAATTCTTGTGTTGTGTATGCCAAAGCGAGCCAGAGCTCAATGCCATCACCCCAGAGTAATGGTGAAGAAAATGTGATCCTTTTTGACTGCATTACTGGTACATTCATTCTGGATTAATGTTCAGATGCCTTGACCAGTTGCATAGAGTATTTTTGCAGAGGAAAGATACCATAGCAGTGGTGTTGGGGGTGGGACGGTTGAGGGAGCTCTGCTTTTGAACTCATTGCCCTGGCAATCACAAAAGTGAATGTTGTAATTAATTCAGCACGTTAACAAACTGTGCTTAGGGATGTGCTGAGCAGTATTCAGTTCAGGATCATGGCAGGATAGGGATTTCTCCACTAATTGTTCTCCGTGCTCCTCGGCTGCAGATCGTGTCCGGCCAGAACGTTTGCCCCAGCAACAGCACGGGCAGCCCCTGCATCGAGATCGATGTGCTGGGGATGCCCCTGGACAGCTGCCACTTCCGCACCAAGCCCATCCACCGCAACACTCTCAACCCCATGTGGAACGAGCAGTTCCTTTTCCGCGTTCACTTCGAAGATTTGGTCTTTCTCCGCTTTGCGGTTGTTGAAAATAACTGCTCAGCTGTAACAGCCCAGAGGATCATTCCCCTGAGAGCCCTGAAGAGAGGTACGGTGTAGCTCCTGGTGGCACCCTCGGCCAAAATGGTCCAGCAGATTCCTGGGCTGAATCCTTCCAGAGGGGAATTCTTAAATCAGTTGCTTTTTTCCAGAGGAGACAGGGAGCAAATACCAGACAGCACACCACAGCCTGGCAGTGCAGTGCTGATCTAGGACTCCGGGGAGCTGGCAGCTGCTCCAGTGCCTTGTAAAAAGTCCCATCCTGTGCTGTTGTGGAGGCAGGGTGGTCCACACCTGTTCCTGGGGCTGTGTTCACCAGGGGACTGGCTGCTCCCTTAGGAAGCTTGGAGTGCTTTCACTCCTGCCTTCTCCTTCGCCCAAGAAACTGCTGCAACAACTGACCACTGTGCAGAGGGGAGTTGCACTTCTCACAGCCACGGCTGTGAAGAAAGGGTGGAAAAAAGTGAGAGATCAGGAAACATCACTAATTGAGTCACACCTGGGGGAGAGAGTTTCCATGGTGCCAGTAGCTCTCTTACATTTGCTTTGTGCCACTTTAATGTCACACAACTGTCTGGGTTAGCATGTGAGGAGATTTGGCCATACACAAGCATTTTCCATTGAGAATTTGACCTTGCTTCATTCATGTTCTGATATTTAGATATTTTATGTATGACTATAGAATATTATGGTAAAACAAAGGCAGGTTACTCTATGAGCCACTCAACAGTAGGATTTGTGTTACCCTGTTGTACAGAGTGTTAATGCAGTGCTATTAGAGTGCTTCAAATCCTACCTGTGTGGCAAAGTGTAGCTATAAATACAGCAAATTTGAATTTTCCATTTATGAGACTTGTGTCCTGGGATGTGGCAAAGTATTTATGGAAGGATTTTTCCTCTTTAGGCTACAGGCATGTCCAGCTCCATAACCTACACAATGAAACATTAGAAATTTCCAGTTTGTTCATAAACAGTCGGAGAATGGAAGAAAGTCCCTCTGGAAACAGTCTGCCTGCATCTATGGTAATTTATTTTTTGTGTATGTGAATTATCTGTACTTTTGGTTTAATAACTGCTATGACGTGAAGATTTATAGGGCCAGAGTGTTCAAAGATGTTAGCCCTCAATCCTACACATTCTTCAGACATACCTTGATGCCTACTTTTTTTTTTTTTTTTTTTTTTTTTTTTTTTTTTTTTTTTTTTTTTTTTTTTTTTTTTTTTTTTTTTTTTTTTTTTTGGCTTTGGTGGAAGTAAGGTTATCCTACCTGAATAAAACTGTAGGAAGGTAAATATTTTCAAAGTCTGGCTCCTCTGCTGTATTTAGGTATAGAACAAGAAATGTGCTTCTCAACTGGGAGAATGTGGATGAGCAGTCAGGTTCAGTGCAGCCTCATGCATTCCTTTGTGCATGAATTGCAAGCAAAGCATTTTAGACCAAAAAAAAAAAAAATCAGGAAGATGCAAATTACCAACAACTTCAAAATAATGAAAGCAAAATTTATTTCTGTTACAAGAAAAGATGAACTCTGCAGTTCCATAAATACATACAGATTTATATATGTGTGTGCACATGCACATGTTTATATGTGTAAATATGTATATATACCTACAGGTATCTGTATATCTAAAAATTTGCATGCATAGATGTGATTTTTGTTTAAAAGCCCTTACTGTGAGGCTACCTGGGTTACTTGTGTTTTAACAACTTTAAACATGTATTTTTATCGTTTTGCTGACTCATAAAGCGTTAGATAAAACCTTCTGAGCTCCTTTGTGTGCAACAGCTGTGTTGCAGATATTACCTCCTGTGAATACATGTCAAACTTGTACCTTGGTGAATTACTAGGGTAGAAAGGAAGAACAAATAGTTTGGAGGTTAAAACAAAGCTATAGCTTTTCATCCAGTAATCTGTATGCTGAATCCAAATATCTGAGCTCAGTTAGAATGGGGAATGAGTGATGGAGGTTGGCCCTTTGTCCAGTGGTAGTTTATCTATTCCCACTAGAAAATAGATAAAAAATAGATAGATTTCCTTTTTCTCTTCATCTTCAAGATACAATGGAGGCTTTTGGAGGGTTTGTTGGGGTTTTTTTAGATGTCTCGAACCATAGGGTAAGGAGGAGCCATGTGTGAATTAAACAGCTTTGCTTTGTCAAGGCCCTCACAACTTGTGTGCAGTTTCTTTTAAGCAACCTAGAACTAACATGCTTATGTAAAAACGTCCAGTAACCTGTTGAATGTTGTCTGAACAGTTGTTTAGCCCGGGAGAAAGGAAAGCTGCCGTGACTTACAAAGTGACAGTTCATGGAATTCCAGGCCCAGAGCCTTTCACTGTTTTCAGTGTGAGCGCGGGGGCCACGGCTGCACAGCTGCTCCATCAGGTGAGTTCCTGCTGAATTGGAGACTCTTCATTGCCAGAATGCACACTAACATCCTGCTGGAGCTCTGTCTCCTGCACTTCTCACACACATTCATCACAGCAAGCGGTGCTGTTAGAAATGCATTGCTGTGGAATTAATTACACAGCAAACACAGAATATAATCAGTGGAATTTTCCCAGTCTTGGCTTCAGATAATGGGTTTATAATCTTTGAATGTATTCCGTATTAGTATTTTAGTATTTGGGCATATGCAGGTGAGAAAAACAATCTGTTATAGTCAGCGGGTGCAGTGGGTTCTTGTTACAACATTTATACACAATTCTTTGAACTGAGGCACTGTAGGAACAGAGAGTAAAAGTTACAGGGCTAAGTTCATGAGTAGAAAAACCAGTTAACTCAGCAGGGATTGTTATTCTAGCAGTGGGAAAAGACTGTACTGTCCTGGGATTATGAATAAATTTTCTGGCCAGCCAAAAGGGACCGAAATAAGCTTAAATAGTACTGCCTTGTCTGGAATAGTTGAACTGCTTGGCTAGGCTAAAGAGAACAGGACATTACCCTGGAGTAAAATATCTGAATAATAAATAGCACATCAGAAATTCTGCCTGCACTGTCAGAATAGTTACTGATTATTAAAGCTTCCTTATTCATTCTCATTTATAACTACTAATTATGCAGTGTTTATATTTAGCATTCTGATTGTTGTGTGTTGTCTGTCTTAGATCTTGGCTACCATAAAAGGCACCGAGTCATGCGCTGCAGACTATTTTCTGATGGAAGAGAAAAGTTTTATATCAAAAGAAAAGAGCGAATGCAAAAAACCACCATTCCAGAGAGTGATTGGTCCTGAAGAAGGGCTAGTGCAGCTTTTAAACAGTTGGTTCCCAGAAGAAGGATATGTTGGAAGAATTATCTTTAAAACTCGAGAGGAAGTAAGTCTGTTTTAGATAAATTATTATTTAGAAAAGTAGCTAAAAATAGCTCTTAGGACCACAAAATAAAAGGGTGCAGTATTTGTTTCACTAATTGGTGAGTAATGTCAATGCTGTGTGCATTATTTTAAAACAACCTTAACTCTTGAGTGAGAAGCACAACTGGACTTTATACACCTGGGTGACACCAACTGGACCCCCCTCAGCTCCAGTATCAGCTGTGTGGTGTTTATTCATTATGGCTCAGTCTCCAGTTCAGTGACTCTCTTGGAAGTGATAGTTCTAATTTAATGCAAATCTAGATTATACCATGATAGGAAATTAATATAAAGATAATAGTTAATACCAAAGGATCATAGATAGCAGAACTCCAGAAAACCACCATCAATTTAGATGGCAGCAATTTAACATCTGAATAGAAAAATTAGAAATAATTTTAATATTAAAGACTAAGTCTAAAAGCCTCAAAGGATGATTAAATTATCAATTATAGGCTAAAATAATAAAATAGGTGATTTCTTTTAATTTAAAGGAGGAATATTACTTCAGTTTATACCATGAACAAAGCATCTACTGCTTAAAATATGCTACTGCCCAGGCTTGTGAGACAGAGACAAAAATGCAGGAGAAAGACACTTAATGATCCCGTTTTCAGAGGCACTTTCTTTGGTCAGTAAGGCAAATAAAAACACTTGCTTGGTACACAGATTTTACGTATATATATATATGACAGAGCTGCTCTGGTATACTTTAAACTGAAAAGAATGAATTTTTGCTTATTTTGACACAACTCTTGATAAAGCTTCAATTTGACAAATTGCTATTATTTTATACAACTCCACATTTTGGTTTCCTTTATATCTAATATTTTGAACAAAAATGAAAAGGTAGAAATTTATTTGTGGAAATAGTAGCCTACTGAATTCCACTGACTACAGCACTGCCTCTGTCAGTGTATGCTGCCACATGTGTCCTGCCAAGCCCCATTCCTTCAGAAAATGGGTACAAACCTGTCTTAGCACATATGAAAATTATGCTGTTGTTCTGTCCTGTTATGGGAGTACCTCAAAGCATTATCCATAATTTTGAGCCTTTCTGCAGACAGGAGCACCTCAGAGCTTGGAGCTAGGAATGAAGCTGCAAAGCTGACTGGAAAAACAAGGAGCAGGTCCAGTGACAGGGTGCAATACACAGTCCATATTTACAGCTTATGAATCCAAGCTGTGTTTCAAGTGTTCCAGGGCTTTGGACAGAAATGCATTCTCTGAGAAGAGGGTTCAAAGAGGAATTCTGTCTAAAATCTGCAGGAGTCATTGAAAAGGGAGAGTGAGAAACATGCAGCCTTCACACCACAGGAAAATGTTTTCTGAGATTCTGGCTCTCTAAATTCTTTTAACTTTAGTGCAGGGACAGGAAAGAAAAGAACTCTTTCCACCTTCTCTCATCATACTGGCACCATTACATGAGAAAGCATCATTTTGTATACATAAGGGAAGGATTTAAGGGACCATTTTTGTGACATATGATGCCATGCAAACATCTCCATTCCTCGCCTACTATGCAAGGTATTTCAGATGTCAATTTTAGAAAACATGAGTATTTACTAGCATTATTATTAATTATTAGCAATTGTGGGTTGTCAAAACTCTCTTATAATGCATTTAACAAAATGGAGCTGAGGCAACCACAGTCTCCAATTTCCATGTAATAAAACCCTTGTGTGACCACAAGCTATTAGTTACCTCTCTTAAGTAAATGAAATTGTCTGTCATTTTCTCTGTAGAATTTAAATGAGAGAAATGTCTTTCAAGAAGCAAAGGAAGAAGCAGCTATCAGCTCTGAGGATGACAGCTTCTTTGTTCAGGTACATGATGTCTCCCCAGAGCAACCACGCACCGTGATCAAAGCTCCACGCCTCAGCACGGCTCAGGATGTCATACAGCAGGTAAGGCTGTGTGCCCACCTCAACAGGGGGGCTGGAAGTTGGTTTCAAACAAGCTAAGGTGGGATTTGTTCTCAGCACTAGCTGAAGAAACGGTTTAGTAACCTGAATCTGAGGGAATGCCTTGGTTTTTGTTTTGTTTTTCTGCTTTTAAACAGACTCTCTGCAAAGCCAAATACTCCTACAGCATTTTGAGCAATCCAAACCCAAGTGATTATGTGCTTTTGGAAGAGGTGACTAAAGAGCCAGCAAACAAAAAGTCTTCAACATCTAAACCATCTCAGAGGATTCTCTCTGATCAAGAGTGTGTGTTTCAGGCCCAAAGCAAGTGGAAGGGAGCAGGAAAATTTATCCTTAAGCTCAAAGAACAGGTTCAGGTAAAAAATGCAGTATTTTGCAGCAGATGTTATAGATGGTGTGTGATCAGCTTAATGGGAACCTGCTTTCCATGTAAGGGAGAGACAACTGGCGTGAGGGCAGACGGAGAGGACAGACTACAGCAAAAAGCAGATTTCCTCTTTTCTCTGAACCTCCCTTAGTTATTCCTTTGCAAAACTGCATCATTTACATTCCACAATATGATTCCCTCACAGCCTGCAAATCCAGAGCAACCTTTATCTGCTACCAGCTTTCTGTTTCTCAGAACTTTCTGGCCGTGCATGCCATGTTCCCTGTCACAATAAAGGATCATTCAAATGGGCAGAACTTAAAAGCTAGTGGAATAAAGTCCCCTTTATTCCTGGCCAGTGAAAAAGTTGTTCTGTTGCTTTATCTCAGGCTTTAAAAAATGGCAGGAATGAAGTACATGCCTGCTGGGAGAAGGAGCTGTGTTCTCCTTTCCAGCAAACACCAATCCACAGCTGCTGTTGCTTTAAAGTAACTGTATTATAAGCACACAGACCACCAAATTTGTTAAACATATCTTTAACAATGCATAACTTTTAATTAATCTATTCAGAACAATCAGAAGGAAGAGCCTGGATGAAAGCACAGCTGTACTGAATTCCTTAGAGGGAGGCCTGCTCAGCAGTGTGTCAGGTGTTTTCATATTCATTCCTTATTTCCCAGAGAACGAGCAGCTGTTAAACCACCTCTGTGATCTTTTTTTATTTTTTACAGGCAGCACGAGACGACAAGAGAAAAGGCATCTCCTTCACCAGTGAGCTGAAGAAGCTGACCAAGTCGAGCAAGCAGTACCGGGGCTTCGTGCCGGCCGCGCTGTCGGACGGCGCCCAGGGCCGGGAGGAGCGAGCCGCGGCCTTCAGCGACAGCGCCGAGTAATGCGGCAGGTACGAGCCGCCGGCCAGCGCTGAGCAGCCTCGGTGCAGCTGGCACAGAGAATCCTGCTCCCAAGCGAGCCACAAGGACTGGCAGAATGATCCATAAACGTACACGGGCGTGCAGAGGCACGGTGACATCAGGAAGGGCTCCAGGTGAACCACAGTGGTGCAGTTTCACTCACTTTCTCTGTCCATTTAAAACAAAATGTTGCATCCCAGTTGTTTTTGCAGTACTCATTTTTATCAACAGTTGTGCTTAAATAGCGATGCTCTGTTACTCTTTTGCTCTGGGCCACGGCAAATGGAAGTGAGCAGTAGAGCTTTTATTGTTTTTTGTTATGTCCAGATAACAAAATCATCAGGATTGGTGATCTTTTTTAGCTAGAACAAGTTTATAGCGTTAATTTCTGTCTGTGGAAATTTTGCCAGAAATGTTTAAACATTTACACTATCCTTTCTGTATCTCTTCAATTTCTTCCATCTTGCTTGACTTCAAACAACTGAAATACACAACCGAGACTGTCCCATTTATATGGAGCTAGTAAGTGCCACTTGCCCAGCACTGTACACTAACCAGACACTTGCACAGTGCTACTACAGCACTGTGACAGCAGCTGGGAAGTTGCAGCTCATTGCAAATGAAGAAATTTTTTTCAGTGTTGATCATCCCACCTCACAAATGGCCCATTTAAGATTACATTTTTTTTCTGTATACATCTAATTATTAAAGCATTATTTGACATGAACTGTAATGCTGCTGCTAAGTCACTGACAGAATTTAATCAGTTTTCATTTGCAAGGTATTTCAAATAGGAAGGGATTAATTTGATAGCTTATTTCTAGGTTGCTATAAACCCTCTAATGCATTTAAACAATTTGAATTCAAAGAAAGCAAAGCAAATTATGGGAAAATCAGAGTCACTTTCCTTCTTCTGCATTTGGTTGGGTTTTTGTTGTGCTGGGGGTTTGTTTTGTTGTTTTCTTGGGGTTTTTTTCCCTTTTTTTTCTGAAACCAAAATATGGAATTTACATGACTGAATCCTTCTGCAGTGCCTTTGAAGGACCCTGCTGCAGACTGAACTGGTCAGAACTGTGTGGCTTGTGCAACAGATGCTTAATCCAGGCAATGCTGCTGGATTAACATCCAGACTCTGGGAATCCTAAATGGGATACTGTAGATGGGAAAGATGCCTGTCAGCTCTCCAAGATTCCTCTCTTCCTGTTTCTTCACATCTGCAGATTCTCCATAGGCGGATGGAGAAGTTTTCTTGGACTGTATGTTGTAAACAAACACGTGTCATCACCCTCCCCTTTTTAAACAAAAGATAATTTTAGCTTGTTGCCTCTAAGGAAGCTGAAGGCAGAGAAGCAGAGTGGTCTTTTATGTGTATTATATTTAAATAACGCACTTTTACCTGACGATTACTGTTAAACACTGTGTTAAGTGATTGTAAAGAGATTTAAATATACTGTAACTTCCTTTGCATATCTGTTTAACTTTGGTGAATATACACAAAACACTCAAAATTATTTATGGTTTCTCTACATTAACAAAATAATGTACAATAGCTGAGTACACCTTACTGGTAGTGAGACCTTGGCAAGGAACAACATTTTCTTCTTATAAATTTAGTTTTCCAGGCTTGTGTTTAAAGACAGAATATTTATGATCATGTTTTAAAGTGCATACCATTGTATAGTATATTTATCATATACTACTTTTTAGAAAACGCAGATTTTTTTTATCTTTCTCTGGATTTAGAGGAAAAAAATATTAGAACTTTTCTAGTTCTTTCTTTTCAGCACAAGATTTTTAATACCCAGTACTGACCAAATTCAAAACAATGCATTAATAAGTGTAATATTTCAAAATTTTGAATTCAAACCACATTTTTCCATGTAGTCAGGAACTGTCTTTTTACTTGTCTGTTAAACCCAGAGAGTATAAAGGACTTTACACAATAACTCTTGACAATTCTGTTTACATAGAAACACTGTTGTGAAGTTTTATGTGTGCTGATTTCATCTTTTGTTATCTAAGTTAGTTATGGTCGTCTCTTTTTTTTTCCTTCCATGGGAGTTACTGATGTGTTTAGTTATTTAAAATAATCCATTACAGGGGCACAAATTAAACAACTGCTGCCATCAGCCATCCCTTTGATCTCCACAAGAAATGTGTCTGTGGGGAACAAACTACTCTGCTCATGTTTTTGTTTCACTAAAGCAAGCCCTAAACAAAGGAAAAGAAGTTACAGGCAGTATGACAGCTAATGCCCCCACCATAAATAAGTGAAATTAAAGAAAACAAAGTTATTAACTGGCATATAAACAAGCAGACAGAACCTGCATTCTGTCACCAGAAACTGTGAAGTCTTTCACTATACACTACGGAAAATACCTATAAAGTAGCCATTTACCAAAGCAAGAACTGCCCTCTTGAGGTCACTTCCAGCTTTCAGAAAAAAAGAACCAGAGACATAAAAAGGTCAAATTTCTCAGAGACCATGCACTTCCCACTGCTCATCTTTCACAAAAGTAAAGTTTTGAACTTATGTACCAAAGCAGCATTTTGCAAATCAGCAACATGACTCAACTCAAGCCCCAGTTCCCTGTGAGGGACATGTGCTCCCTGCCCAAGGAAAAGACTGAGCCTGAGCAAAATGTTAAGTGACAACTTACACAAAGTTCTATGCACTTTGCTTTGGAATACTTTGGAATTACTGGGAAGTACATCAACCTGCTGCACAATTCAACTACTGCAATGATTTTTGAAAATGTTTCTTCATTCTCTGTTATTCTAAAACAGTAACAGTTTGATGTCACTGAGAAATTTTTCCTGGCATTTTAAAAACAACACTTAATGTCCTGTAGTTTGCCCTTACCTGTTTGGCTTTTTCTTTTTTGTTGGTGTGTTTTTTTGGGATTTGGGGGTTTTTTATCTTTATAGGCTGTGAAAATTTTTACTATCGCCTGTAATATCACAGTATGGCAGACACCCTTGCTAATTAGTTGGATTCAACATAGAAAGTTCTTATACCCATGTTGTCATCCACTAGGGCTTTTCTGTCACAGATATAAAAAAAACAAAAAAAAAAATCATGGGGAAGCAAAGGGGACACCAGTAGTCATGTGTTAGTAGTTGTGCACCACAGGCCTAACACTAGCCTGAAGCCTTGTGGGCATTTAAAATCAGCAGTTTTGTACTATTTCTGCTAACACAATTTTTCTAGCTGTGGAAATAGCTTATTTAAGTATCTCCATTATCAATCACAGTCAAAACCTCCTTTGTCTGCTGTTTATCACAGTGAAAGAGAATAGCAAAATATTTGGTTTTTTATTGAAAAACCCTAACTTTGTAGGCCTGTAGACATCTGGAACTGTGTACGGTTAATGAACTTGCTCCAGTATTTTCATTAAAGTACATGCATCACTTAATATAATTTAAAGTTTAGGTATTGGCAAATATTCAGGTAAACTTTTCTTGGTGAAACATGATACACTTTGGGGTGAATTTGGGAAAGAACTGCACTGCTCTTCCTCTTGCTGGTTCTAAGTAGTGGAAATACAATACAACTTGAAGCATTAAAGAGCAAGGGGGAGTTGTTAACTTCTGTGAAAGCTCAGTTAAAGAGCTTTCATGTGCTAAGTTGTTATGCTAATAGGAATGTTTATTCTGTTTAGCCACAGATTTTATTTCTGCAGGAATCTGTCCACACATTCCTATGACAAAACTGACAAAAATAACTTCATCTTTTTCCATGCTTTTGGCTGAGTATGGACATAAATTAGGAAAATACATTCATTTTTACACTACAAACTATTTACAGGAAGCAGCTTCCAGGATAAAGTTTGAAAGAAAGGAATGTAAATAATCAACATCTTCCAGAAACATGCAGTCTCTGAGCAGTAGCAGGCCTTGCACTGCACACTTTTCAGGTGGAAATCTCTTGCTTTCTCCTGCTCTGTTGCCTATTGACAAAAACAAAAAAACTTTTTATTCTGTACTATTTAAAAACTGCTACTTTTCTTTCCCTGTGCAGTACGTGGTGCTTGCAGTGTGTGACTGTAAGGGCCAAAAGCTGGGCAGTGCCAGCTCCTGTGTGCACGCAGAGCTCTGCTTGTAGGAACTGGGGCACTCTAGGAGCTGCTTCCTCTGCCACCCAAAGGCTTCCTGGTCCTGCCCCACTGACCCCAGGAAGAGCAGTCAGGACACTAAAAAATACTATCTCAAGTTCTTGGTTTTTTAAGCCTAGTGACACCCTTTTCCTTGCTTACAAATATTACTAGGTGAGGTGTCTGAATAGCTGCTTTTAGGAAGGTGTCTGCTTCCAGAACTCACAGGCTTTTGAGAATTAAACATTTCAACGTGGAAATATCTAAGTATTTCAAGAACATTTTCTCTTCCATTCGTAGTTTATTTTTCAAAAAGAGAAAACCTTGCTGGTAGCTTTACAGGCTAAGTCTGCAGCTTCTGATCCTCAGCTGTCTGTTCTGCTCTTCAACTGCTTCAATTAACATCTGATTTTTAATCACGGTCTGTTACTATTCCACTAAAAAACTCAGTTTACTTTTAGGGTAGCCCACTAAATGTACCAATGATGGCAATTTTTTCCTGTCTGTGATGAATATTTTGTAACTTAAATAGTGATAGACATTTGGCAGAGTTAGCAAATTAAACACAAAAATAAATAGCAGAAAATAGATTTTGCTCCAATAGATGTGTAAGCTCTTCAGAGTGACTTGTACAGTTGTCTTCCTCTGCCTCTTCAAGCATGTCAAAATATTCTGACAATGCAACATCACTATGTGCCAGTCTTTTATGTTTGGAGACTATCTAAAATAAGCAATTTTAAAAGTGACTTTTCCACCTGGACTGTTTTCTCTCTGCTGACTTGAATAAACTGTATTTGTATATGTTGTAAAAAAATAAATGGTTTAAGAAGTTGAATCTTTGTTTTTGCCTTCCTGAACTGACAAAGGTACTGACAAATGGCCCCCTTGGAATGTTGCAGAATTTAAACCATGTCTGCATTTGCAAACACTTAACAACTAAACTAAAAAGAACTACTCAAAATGAATGGGAATGACAGCCTAAGCAGACAGAAATGTGTATAATCACCAGTATTATGCATGCAGGTTTGTGGTCCACATAGTAAATATAATACAATACATAGGTATTTTATATGTATAATACAATACATAAGTATTTTCTAATCCCTTAATACACAGATGTCTGTTCTAAAAATGTTTGTAAATTTAGGTTTAATTACTTGGAAGTTGTGAACTAGTGCAATCAATACTGAAAACATATTAAAAGAGAAATAAATTATTTGCAAAACTATCTAAGAACCATAAATCAGGATAAAGGATTAAATACCTTAGAGAAAATAAGATTATTTTCTGACTTAAAGAAAAGTTTTCTAAAACTTGTAACATTGCCCTGTACAACGGAATTCACATAAAGACAATACTCACCTTTAAATTATTTCATATATTTCACCTGTTCTTTGAAAAGCCAACATGCAGCTGAAAATGGATTCAAAACCAATTAGACAATAAATAATATTTGGAGACTGTGGGGAGAATTACCTACCAAAAAAAAAAAACCACAAAAACAAACATTCTTACCTTGTATTTGTCCAATATTCTTGACAGCAATGCTTTATTGAAGACACTGCAGTAGATCATTCAATCGTTATGATAGCTTAGAACTGAAATTCAATATTCTTAATTTGTTAATGTCAAGATTCATCAGAGAGGAAAAAACCACCAAATTTAAAATCATTTAAAGATGAGATAAATAGTTAGAAGACATCAGAAGAAAAACAGGAAAAATGCAATATATATTCCAAATGTCTAGGTAACTTAAGACACCAAAAAGTCAATACTATGTTAACATTTTCAAAATATTTATTAAGTTATCAACACAACCCAGTGAGTTCGCAGAAACATGTATGTCTATATTCCATTATAAAAACTAGAAAAATACATAAAGAAAAGTACAATTGTGCATGGTTGCAAACAATTCTTAAATTACTTGGGTTTGTATATTTTTAAAACACTGACATGACAGTTCATTGTGATTCCTCCAGCCTCCTGAACAGGAGCTTGGTGGTTAAGGGGACAGGCCTGTAACTGTGTGAAAACTGCTGTTACATTTTCGTGTGTTTCTATATTCACACAAAAGCCTATTTGTGTTCCTTTTATGATGACTGGTTCTTTCAGCCAATCTTTCTCCATAATTAAGAATCCAAGTGAACTTGATTGATAGGTACATTTATGCCAAAGATGATTTCTTCAAGTGCTTAGCAAAATCCAAGGGTTTGTGAGCAACAGTCTCATTGATGTGTTGTTGAAGCTGTTTGTTTAGTTCTTCATCTACAAATGAATCCATTTGCGAGAAGGTATCCTGAAAATTACAAAACACGAGTTGTATTACTAAACAAGGCCATGTTGTCCATGTCTACCTTAGTTTAGCAGTCTTTCTCTCCCATGGTCCCAGTCATCTACACCAGACCTGTTCAACTGGCAAGCACCGTGCCAGGCACTTGATAAGCCCGTGGGTTTGGTGAGGCTTTTCTGGTTTGTGGTAAGCTGGGCTTTAGAAGATCACCTACTACACACAGCCATGGCTGCCAGCTCGGGGTGGGGAGGTTCACACACTGCCTCCTGTTCAACACACCTTACAGACACAAATCAAGCACAGTTTGCTGACACCACACATTTGTAAATCAAGCACCTCTGACCAAAGGGCAACAATGCTCACAGCACAGGCTGTGACTCAGAAAGGAATCCCCTGACTCTTCTGCCTCCAGCCACGCCTGGAGCCCTGCATTTTCCTGGCGCTCAAAAGAAGAATGATGATCATGCACATGATTTAAACTTCCCTTAAAGTCTTAAAATTTCCAGAGCCAAGTACTTTGTGCACTCATGGAGAAATGAGTGCCTCTCTTTAGTGGTGTACAGGGCTCCAGTTCAGAGCTTCTGTCAAGAGCAGGGAGATGCTGACAGACTGGTAGCCTGGCACACAAAAGACAAGCAGATCACAGAGGGTAAAACTCAGGTAACTGCCAAAATTTGTTAAATGATCCAAACAACCACAGAGCAGGCAAGACCCCAAGGTAATTTCCCCACCTAGGTCCATTATAGCCCTATAGTCACTTTGTGATCTTGCTGTTCCATTGTTTCTGCCCCCTAAAGGAGCTTGTGCATTTCCTTATTCAACCCTTATTTCTCTCCCATCTGCTGTTCTCCTCAGCCTTGCTCTGTCAAAGCTGCTCATGTAACTCCCTAGCAGGACACATATATCAAGGAGTCATTATAAAACAACTAAGTAAGTTAAGTACAAACACATTTTCAGAAGTTACTTCTCAAAAATGAAAAAAAAACCCACTGTGCTTCACCTGACATGACTGAGTTACAAACTGGAGCACTGACAAGGTCAATAGGTTATAATGTTTGCAGTAGAAAGAAGGGAAATTATCACTTTTTAAAGAACACACCACTAACTGGACATTTAATGGAAGCTGGCATCTGGAACACATCCAGCACTGAGGATGAAACGCTTCCCCCATTTCTCCTCTTCTTACATTAACTCTTTGCTCCCCTCAAATTTCCACTTTAAAGCTGTAGTGACACTAACAGGAATCAGTATCCCTCAACACACTGAATCAAACGCTCTGGAAATCCAGCTGTCTTGGCAACTGCCCACACTGGGGAAAGAGCTGGCTTTTTGCTTTTTGAACAAACATTAGTTCATCATTACAGAAAAGAGCCAAGAAATCTGCACTGAACCACTGCAAAGTGCAAAATAACAGCTACCATATTAATCTTGCAATGTTAACTGATGCTGTGGGAGGTAGGACTATTTATACAAGCTATTTTTTCCTTCTTTATACTCAGTCCAGTCTTGGATCCAGTTTAAAAAATGTACTTGATGCAAAAGGTACAGAAACCAGAAAGCTACACTGAGTGTGCCAATGCCTGGGCACTGCATAGTGAGCCAGCAAATACAGGTTATATTGGTGTGTCACATGGTGAAAAAAGGACACAGAGCAATGAGAACAGTACCTTTCTTCTGGGTGTTACTGATGCAACAGGAGGATTAAAGGTCATTCCTTTCACACAGTATGCCTCAAAAAGTTCTGTAGCAGACCTACAGTAAATAAACATGAAAGAAAAATGGCATTAGAAAAATATAGCACTGGCCCAAGAGCAGCATCTCACACACACCACACCCTCCCCCTCCATCATATTTTAGGAGAACTCCTCAGAGTAATGAGCATCACCTGGAAAAGATCAGCAGCCAATGGCTAGGAAATAATGCAAGTCAAATTAAGTATAATGCGTCTAAATACATACAAGAAAACTGTTGTCCTCGCAGAGCTCTGATCTGTACATACTTGAAAAAGGGGGAGGAAAAAAGGTAGGTAAAGATGGTCTAGCTGACACAATCTGCCAGAATTTTCAACAGTTCCTTGACAAAGGGTTTTATGAAAAAAACATCCATGGGAGAACAGGACCATCACAGAAAAAACGGGTTAAAAGACAGGAAACGGAGTACAGCAGTCTATGGTGATTTTTTGCAAGGGCAGGAAGAAACTGGATTTCCATAAGATTTTTTCCAGGACCTGCAGTTTACATCATGCTCAAAAAAGAGCTGGAGAACACCAAGTTATTTCTAGAAGTTATTTCTAGTAGTAAGAATGAGCTACCTTATAGAGAACTGCAGACTGACTGTATGAGATGATCAGTAAAGTGGCAAATGAAATTTAGTGTTGGAAAAAGCAACTCGTCATAAAAACAGTAGGCTCTGAGCAGACCACTCTTGTTATGACAGAAAGAGGTATTGAGCAGGCTGTGCACTTCAGCTCCCAGAGCAAGAACCAGGGGCTGTTAAATGAAGCAAACTGGCACCAGGCTCAAAACAAAAGAAAGCAGATCTTACCATAAGGAGCTGTGGACTCACAGAGCCCTTACCAAAAAATGCTGCATTTGCACAATATGTGCTCTGATTCAATGGACATTGAACAGTTTTATAAAGAACTCCATGGAGAGAGAGGTACTAACAGAAACTGGTATCAGGTTCAGGAAATCCACCAGGCTGAAACCTGTCAGAGGCCTGCTCAGAGCATGGGTCACGTGTATGCCCTGGTTTTACCTTTCACAAGGCACCTGCTGCCTGCCACTGCCAAAGACAGGATGCTGAACTAGATCTTAGTCTGAGCCTGGATGGCTTTCTCATGTTTTGACCTACTACAAACCTTACACTGCAACTTGGGTTCTAGTCTCCACTGGACAGCCCCAGTTTAGCGATCCTGATCCATATTCAGTGATCCATATTCAGATCTGGGCTGCTGCTGAAGGCATTTTGCTCCCAGGGAAGAAAACACTGCACTTTGAGATGCTGACCCTCACAGCCTGGCCACAAGTCTCAAAATGGTAAAGAAAGGAAAAGAAAAAAAAAGGAAAAAGAAAGAAAACAAAAAAGAAAAAAGGCAGCCAGCATTCTGCATTCTGTACTGGCAGAAGAAGAAAGAGTTTGAAGATCAGAGTGTTTAATTATTTTTAGGAATTCGTTTAATATAGTATAAGCAACAGCTTCCTTTCAGGGCCTGTTATAAAAAAAAGGAACTCTTTGATAACTCACCTTTGGCTCAAATCAAGCGGAAGAGCTCCTGAGCCTTCAGTTGGAGCTCCAGCAATAAGGTGAGATGCAAATTTCTGCACTGTTGGATGATAATGTCTCTGAAAGAAAGGAAGAATGCAGGCAGTAGACACACAGTAAGGGATAATGCATTTATCTATAGAATCTCATGTTTATTTCCAATTCATAAGATGGAAGGTCTGCTTCTATCTTAGAAACTGAGTACCTTAAAATCAGTTTGTGGAATTAATGTAATGCATTTATTCCTTCATAGCATGCTGTGAGCATGACTCTCTCCAGTT